CGCTGTCCGTCATCAAGCTCAATTAAGGTCTTGGCGTCAACTGTGGACAATCCGTACTTTGGATCTTGAACAAGCATCTGCAGGAGCTCGTCGGGTAGTACTGGAATATTCCTTCTGAGGTCAGAAATAACGTCGTCTCCGATTATCACTGGGCCCAGATCGGGATCCGGCATATAACGATAGTCGACTTCCCCCTCTTTACCTCGAAGTTTCCGGGTTTCGGTGCTGCCAAGTGTCCAGCCTCGTGTCTCGCCTTGAATGGTGCCACCTGCTTTGAGTACCGCGATTTGACGGTCGCGTTCTGCGATGATAGCATATTCGACAGCTTTAAAACTACTTAGGTTTTTAATTTCGGTTCGTTGACCGAGCCCCTCTACCCCATCGTATTGATGGTCTCCAGCTGCTTCGCTCCGTTTTCTTACTGATACGTTCACATCCGCCCTAAGGCCTCCCATTTCCATACCTGTTGTAACTGCTCCAACGGACTGAAGTATCGCCTGGATTTTCCTAACGCAAGCCGCGGCGGTTGTTGCAGAGTGGATCTGCGGTAGTGTGATAATTTCAATAAGAGGACGTGAGACGCGGTTGAAGTCGAGGAGGTAGGTGGAGGATGGAAGTTCCTGCGATTTGGCCGTATCCTGTTCCATCTGTATCTGTTTTATACCAATTTGAACACCTTCCCCGTCTTCTTTAGCGATGCCATCGTGTGCTCCTAACCAGATGCTACCGTTTTTCGCATACGGTTCTATTAGACGATGTGTAAGCTCATATATTCATTGTCCCCGTATATGCAGGGTTTTTTATTTTTATTTATTTTTATTTTTTTCAGTACCATAGTATTGTGTTATTTGGTAACCGGCAGGCTGGTCCTGGTAGAAGTAATGTTTTCTATCGAAACGACTCACTCGCTGGATGTCGCAATTTAGGGCAATGGCGGCACGGATTGCTGGTATCAAGGTAGACGGCTGGAACAGCTGTTCAATCGTCAGGACAAATGAACAAAACGGTCACACTCTGTATCAAAAACTACTGTCAAAAGGAAAAGAAAAACTAACCGGTTGGCTTCCTGGAAGCGCAATATCGAAGAGTGCTATGTTCGAGTTTGGAACATCATCAAGGGCTGCGGAGGCTCCTGCTCACGACGTCAGATTCAACGGGGATAATACAACCGCCCGCCAACAATTGCTTACTTGAAAATAGCTTCGCATCCGTATCCAACTGCGCGTGTATTTCAATGCCCACAGTCAATTCCCAATCCTCATGTTCCAGCGGAGGTGCGCCGCCCTTCCGCATTGCCGCGCGCTTTGATTTGGCCTCATCCTTCAATTGTTTACGCAGAGGAACGTACTCTGAACTGCTTCTCTGGACATCACCCCGGGAATCATGAGGACAACGTACCGAAGTCGACCAATTCTTCCACCCGAGCGGCCGGGGGCTCGGGTGATGGAATGGTTCTGTGAGTTCAACCCTTCGCACAGCAAGACGGTAACAGGGAATACCACGGTGGGAGACGCATTGCCGTATCATGTGCATCAATCGAGCCGTCAGCGCTGCCCTCAAATAGCACCGCGTCGTGATGGATGAAGAGCAACAGACTCTCGATGTGAGGAGATGAACAAATCGGCAGATTGAGGCTTGGAAGGCTGGAGTTTCGAATGCCCACAGGGACCTCCAACATTCATTGGTGCCGGAGAAGATTGATTACGGGAAATACGAGCTGGGGCATGCGATTTGGTGTGAAACGGGCATGAAACAGGGTGAGAGCTCGTATTTGGAGGTAAAATTACGGTACCCATACAAATTGGAACAACACCTGAATCAGAGCGACCTGGAGATATTCAGTACGGAGTAGGGAGTCCGAAACTGATAGGTCTAATCGATTGTAGCCAATCATTACTACAAATGTCTGTTCCTCCCCATCCTTCGACCAGCTTCAAGTTATCGTCTGAAATCCCAAGGTTTGGACGTAAGGACGTGGCTTAAGGCATGGATATGAGCTCGCATTCCTATTCGCGGCAACCTATTGTTAACCCCACAAAACCCAGGAAATGTTTGATCAATTGATATGGTCCCCATCTGCCAATCGGTTTATTATTGGAAACCCGAACTGTGACAACTAACGAAACACTCCGGGGTTGGGCTGGATATGGATCTGCAGTTAGTCTCTCCCTTACGGGTTTAAAAATGCGGTTTTTTTGTACTCGATATACAGCTGACAAGACGCAGGTATTGAGATTGTCAATAGCAGCCCCAAGCCCAGACAACAGGATATTCCAACTCTGGTTATCTTGGATGTTGGCATACGGGCATATATTGTCGTGCGAGTCGTCGGTTGCACTTGGTTGCATTAACGTACAAAACAGAAAAAAACAAAGAAAAGAAAAGAAAAGAAAAGAGAGAAAGAGAGAGTTAGAAATAAGGAAAAGTGCTGAGGTGCTGACAACCTGATTAGAGAGCTACGAACCCTCTCAAGCTGCGTGCTGGGAACACATGCAAGTATTTAATTCCCTAAATTAAATGCAGCATCCTCGCAAATGGGCTAAGCGCGCGCAATGTGTCCTGTCGTTCACGGCGGGCAGGCGGGCGAGCGGTGCCAGCATCTGAAAGTTGTGCTTATCGCAAGAAAGCAAAAGAGCAGAAAAATTCGCTGTGGGAAGATTCCATGCGCACTCAGCCAGCAGCCATGATGAGTTATGTTGGCTACTTTACGTACATAACTCCATCCCAAACGGGCCGTCTTAGCACTACGAATGACGGATAGAAAGGGTAAAGAATAACGAAGATTGTTCAACCCTTGAACATTTCGCATCCTTGGTTGGTGATGAGCGAGTCATTGTTGGCCAACGCAGCATGCCAATATGTGTGTATTCTGTATATGTGTACGAGATCTGTCTGCATGTATGCACGGTCTTGGTGCCAATTTGAGCCCAACGGCATAACTTCATGTACTGCGTCCGTACGATGATGAAATTCTGTGCTCTTGTATTTATGATTGCAGCAAGGACTGCAAATTGATGGTGGTGATGGTGGTGTTCACTTTTATGCCCCACAGCGAGCTAACTAAGAACGAGGTGGGCTGCCGATAATATTAATAGTGACGGGATTTATTTCGATGCCCACTACGAACTAGCAAGGGTCCAATTGAATAAATAGAATGTTGTGCTAAGAAACCATCAGCGTTTCCAGTCGGCCCAGTAGCACAACCCCAGTTTGCCCAGAAGGCCTTGTCCATGATTCATGACTTTGTAGCTACTGATTCCATCGGGTCAACCACCGCCCAGGAGCGTTTCAGAGTCGCTGGCTGTGCAGCCCATATCATTCTGGCGCAGGGCGCATTTCTTCTTTTATTATTCTTACTGTAATTCTTAACTCTCTGTTCCCCCCATAACCCACTTCTTACTGCCCTGTGCCCGAAAGTCCTCACTTGATCTTGTTTCTCAATCGCAGAGCATCTTCCATACCAATCCATCATCAGATTATATCCTGAGCATTCCTATTTCTGGCATAGCGAATATATAAACTCTGATACCTGGTTTTTCGGAATCCTATATCCATCACTGCTTGCTCAAATCCTGATTCAAGTCCCGCGGCTTCACTGTGATACCCATTCAATTCCACGCAGCAACTTTGCTCCAGCGTGTCCTCTCCGTTTACCGATTGAATCCCGGAGTGAAGAAGAAGAAGAAGAAGAAGAAGAAGAAGAAGAAGAAGAAGAAGAAGAAGAAGAAGAAGAAGAAGAAGAAGAAGAAGAAGAAGAAGAAGAAGCACTAAACTAGCATTCCTTTATACTTGGACAGAACTGGTAGTTCTGGGATATACTAAAATCTCTTAACCCTTTCTAAACTGGGGAATATGCCAGGGAAGAGCCACAAGAAGGACAGTTCGAAGAAATCATCATCTCCCAGGAATTCTGCTGTGGACCCAATCCCTGTTACCACTGTTAAATCTTCCGGTTATGCCAGCGAGAACTCCTCTCCTATTGCGCGGCCCCGACAACGTTCCAAATCTTATATTATCAAACCATCGACCAGCATTACTACTAAGGACGTCCCAATTTTGAAAAGGAGCGCTACTGAAAGGCCAAGTGAACTGCGACCTAGACAGCAGTCACCGAACGTATTCGAGTTTTTGGACAAGGACGATTCTGAAGACGCCAGTGCCCGCTGGGCGCAGACCATAAGGCCGAGGCAGCCATCTACCACCTCCGCAGCATCCCAAAGTTCTAGACGAAAGTCTAGTGCCTCTTATAGCTTCAACTCAGATTCAGGAGTATCACTCAGGGGACACAGTCCGGACCGAGCTTCGTCAATCTCCTCTACAGAATATCAACCAGCAACACCTCCCGATCTCTCCCTAGATACACTCAACTGGAAATTTGCAGATGAATCTAGAACCCGCCGCCGCCTCCATATGGCCGGAGCGTATACGACCGATTCGGAAACAGTATTGGAAAGTCCCACATCTCCAGGCCTTGGATATTTTGATTTCTCTGTCCCTGAATCATATTACACTCACACGAAACACACCTTTGCTGAGCCCCCTCCAAACTCTGCTATCCGCCCCTCGTACCCGTATCGTCAGCCAAATCTTGACATGCGCAAATTCAACATGAGCTCCAGCAAAATGCAAAGACGTGCTTCTGTGGAATCAGATCCAAAACGAGGCGAATCGCGCGATGTTGACCGCCCCTTACTCTATCGCAAGTTTGAGCCATTAAATCATCGCCTACTTCGTCATCTCCAGGAAGAAATCGCACAAATGGAAGAGGATCTCACAATCCTTGACGATGTCGAAGAGGTTCGACGAGTCGCAGTCAATGTTAAAAATTCCGGAAGACAGAAGCTGTTCTCAACAACAAGTCAAGACCTCCAGTCTGAGGAATTATCTGCGCTTCAGCAGAGGAAGTCTGAGTTGGTGGAAAAGCTTGTGCTGAAGATCGAGCAATATAGTAAGATTGATCCTCTTCCTCCTTCCTATTTTCTCTTTTCTCTCCCGTGCAAGGATTTGTAATACTTACACACTCTCCAACTAGATCGCGCCCTCTGCTCATATCATGAGGTTTCCTACAAATTGCCGACTGCCACAGACGACGAAGTTGAGACCTACCGTAACTGGGTTCACGATCATTCGTCCAATACCAAGTCTGATCTGAGGTTCCTCGCCCATGACAACGACCTTATCTTACTCGGAGAACGTCCATCCTCCTCCCGTACTCCGAATCCTATATATTCCACTATTGCTGCTGTTTCAGCTGCCATCCTATTCCCGCTGCTAGCCTTTGGTGTTATATCTGAGTTCTTCGGACGCATTGCCGTGGTCTCCATCGTTGGCGGAGCTACTGCTCTGTTCGCTTCGAATGGACCACCTGGCAATGAATATTTGATTGATCCAAATGATGGCTGGAGATGTGCTGCATTGTATGTTCATTTAACCACTTACGTTCCCGAATAAGTTTCTTTGCCAATCTGTGTTATGAATAATTGGCTGATTCGTGATTAATGTTGTAGATATTTTGGCTTTATGTCTGCCGCTGCCATCATTATTTAACGACAGATTTACGAGTAATGACTCTCGATATTCTTTTTGCTTTATCCTCTTTGCCTTGTTTTTTATATCTTTTTTCCCCCACTTCGTTCCTGATTTCTTCTCTGTGATTTTCTTTTATATACTTTTTCTTGCTTTTTGATGTTCATGGCATATGGTTACTCATTTTTTTCATCATTTCAATCTTTTTTCCATGCATTTTTGACCTCATTTGCATGCAGGTCATAGCCAGCGAACGTCTCTCATCATCGTCATTATCCTCATTCCATTTTCATTTCACACTTTTTATATGAAATAGTCACCGAACTCTCTACCTTCACTTTAGGGCTACATCTTCTCCCACTAGCAAAGCGCACTTGCTATGTCTGCTGGCATCCCAAACCGGACTATAAAAAGAAACCAGCAACATTGGAAATGCACGTATATGTAACCCGCTGGACGGGGGAGGCGTAAGAATTGACACGTCGACTCACTTTTCTTGCCTTTTCTTTCTTTCTTTTTAAATATGCATACGGGGTAATATATATATATGTGTGTATACGGAAAACAGGGGCGGGAAAGCAGAACTGGAAAGGAACAAGAAGAGATATCTAGGCCATTTTTTCTGGGGATTTGTGTTCTTCATTCATTTCATTCAGTTTGTATTTATTTCGCTTTTTTATCTTTACTACTTCTCGATTTGTATTGCTTCTTTGTTTTTTCGCGTAGCCGTTGCTGTTGAATGGAAAGAAGTTCGCGAGTCCGTTAATCTTGAAGTCTTTTTATTGTTGTAAAGTGTTCCAGGTGGTTTAAGTCAATTCTAGAAAATATCACCTAGTCCATTAAATTAACAAAGTCGATTGTTTTCTTTTCTTTTCTTTTTTTAATTGAAGCGCACGAGGGTCCATGGATAAGTTGGTTATGTTCGTGATGTCCTTTGAGAGCATGCCACTCAAGTTACTCCGAGTGAGAAGGGGAGGAAAGGTGTGTAAACAAAATAGCAAAATCAGGCCATACAGAGCATAAAATTAGTCTAATAATATAAAAAGGTTTAGAACTCAAGAATCCAATAATATTATATATATAATAGCCAGCACGTCGTCCACTGCAAAAGGGAAATTACTTTTGAACCAGAATCACTGTAAAAAAGGTATGCTCCACACACGGGTACAAAAAGAAGAAAAGGAGTTAAAAAGTTGCTGCTTCTTACCCACCGCCACCTCTTTTCTCTTTCACTATCCACATTTTGGCGGTAGAAGAAATTTCAAAACAAAGGGGACAGAAAAAGAAAAAATGGATTATAAAGCCGGAAATAAAATACAAACCTGCCGCCCGTATTTTTGGTCACCAGAGGAATTTATTAGATGTCATATTGTCACATCAAAGGAAATAACAGGTAATAGGGTTGAGATGAAAGGCTGGTTTCTCTCCTCCCGTTGCCTATGATAAAGTCGATGAAAAAGTAATTGCGATGAAGAATACGAGAAAAGAAGGGCAAGAGAGGAAGTAACACAAAGAAGGAATAAAAGAATATCACTGCTAAAAAATAATAAAAAAAAATCAAACGAATTAAAAGACAAGACGAAAAAATACAAGTTGCTTTCTTTTGTTTTTTACGAAAGCCAGAAAGTTGAAAACGAGAATATGGTAATTAAGTCACACGCATAACCTCTATAAAACACAGGAACGAATAGTTATTGTTGGGTGGCCCTTCTTTGTTGACGTATTAATTTACTCCTCGGAATGTTCTATAATTTTGTTTTTGTCCTTTTATTGTGTCGCGCCGGCTGCAGATCCCATTGGCACATTATTCTGTCGATGACTTGTTGGAAGGCTGCCTTGGCCACTGAATTGGCTGTTGGACGATCCTGGCTGGGGAGTGTTAGACTTTTGGCGTTGATTCTCGGCAAGTTGTGCTTTGTTGCGATCCATAAGGGCCGCCTGTTCAGCAGCGCTCCGGGCATAAGTCATCGCGGTAGTGCTGCTGGGATACCCCGCTGGTGGTGGGTTGCCTTGGGAAGAACCAAAAGTTGTAAAGTGTTGCGGTTGTTGTGGCTGTGGCGGTTGTGGGGGTTGTTGTTGGAAGTATCTCGGTTGAGGATTGCTAGGGGTAGAATTTATATATGGATGTCGCTGCGGAGATGCACTGAAGCTAGAGGGTCTTTGGGGTGACGCGTTGTGTGTCCCAGGAGCAGGTGAGCCATATGGGATATCCGGTGGGCGTTGTTGATAGGATGGCTGGCTAGTTCGACGGGGATAGGGCTGAGGCGATGCCTGCGCAGGGGAAGGCATTCGCTGGGACGGATATGGTCCCACTCCGTTCTGGGTTGGCCTCTGGAATTGCTGAAGGATGTTGCCTTGGCTATACTGCGGAGTTCCGGCCTGTGAGAATTGAGGTTGTGTATAACCAGGGCGCTGACCCGATGGCTGTCGAGGCGTATTGTACGGTTGAGGAGAGTTGTTGACGGGAAACTGGATGGATGACGAGGTTTGCCTGGTTCCATAAACTTGGTGGGACGGATGGCTCATTGGAGCCGTTTTTCGGGGATTGGATGGATAACCCCGGGGCAATGGGGCACTGGGGGCGGTTGGGGGAGTCTGATATGATGGTCGAGATGGGTTCATGTTTGGCGTAGGGGGAGGACGGGCTACATTTGGCATCTGCGAAACTCTGGGTATTTGTTTCTGCTGCATAGAATAGTCATCGTCCTCCATCGTGCCAGGGTAGTCGGCATTTTCCAGAAGTATTTTTTTGCTGACATTTAGTTCTGCTAACTGGTCCCCATCCAATTTCGATACAGCATATGGAGGTAGCGTGGCTATCATTGCAATTAAACTTGATTTTAGGGTTTCATACAGGGTAACTTCCATAGCTGAAGGTGATGACGCATCCGATGTTGCTGCGATTTCGTCGTTCGGTTTCGGAACAGGGAGTGATTGCCCGAGGTTTCGAATCTGGCGATAGGAATTTAATGTGCGTAAAAGATCCGAAATGTTTTCGAGTACTTCTCCCAGATCTCTATCATCGCTTGCTCCATCATCGCCGTTCCGCGGTTCGACTAAGATTTTATCGTCCTCCGGCTCATATGAATTCACAGCCTCTTCGAGGCTCGTTTCGTCCAATAATTGGATTTGTAAGTTCGGACTCTGATTGTCTGTGTGTTCGGTTTCCGGATCATTTTCGACGGCCAATAAGCCATGTAAACGGTGCTGGCCATATTTGTCCCACCAAATTTGCTCTTTCGCGTCTTGGGATATAACCGCTCCGGAGCTATCAAACGAGGGAGCAAATGACGAATAAAGACCGCGAAATATTGCACTGCTCTCATCAAAAGAGTTTTGGAATGGCTTTGAGAGGCTTTTCCCGGTATTAGTATCGCTATTTTGCCTTCGACTTCCCAGCCGAAGGGATGGTTCGTAACCGTAATGTAGCCAATCTCCTGAAGGAAGAGATAAGTAAGTGTATCCTCTCTTTTCATTTGGCGGGAATTTAGCAGCTATGGCAAGTTCGTATGGGTCCAGCCAAGTGACAGTCGGATTTTTTGATGACCGCGGTTTGCCCGGAGGTTGTAACTGGGGAAGGTTGGGGCGGGCTGCAAATACGTCTGCAATGGTTCTTGCTTTCGATTTACCCAGCTCCACGTTTTTGACATTGAACGGAATTATTTTGGATGTAGTAATGCCGTTTGGCAACCTTGCTTCGTTGATCGTAGCCTGTATTTCTGCGCCGGTTGATTTCTCAAGATCAGGAGAGTCTGGTTTCACGGCAACTGCATGTTGTAAACTCGAAAACAAATGTCTCCCGCGAGGTGCATTTCCATAGAGCGTGAGAACTACTTTGTTCTCCCGATCATATGAACATTTTCCATTATTCTTGTTTTGAGGTTCATTCCTCTGAAGTTCCTGAGGCTCATCCTTTGAATGAGAAGAGCCTAGAAGTGGACTTCGGAGGATAAAATTGTCCAAGTGCTTTTTAAATATGCGTGAAAGATTGACCAATTCTGCCGAAGATCGAGAGTTTTCTGATTTATTTACAGTTGCTTCTGACTCGCGGCGTCGTTCGATAACCAAACAGGACGCAGTCTCAACGTCGTCAATTACTTCCTGAATAGACTTGTATTGACCCGCCTTAATTTTGCATTCTATCGTTTGCGAATTGTTCGTGGCATCTGATAGTTTCGCACGTTTCCGATCTGGTTCGACCACGGAATTGGGGGGACAGGGGAATTTCAGAATACCAAGATCTGAATCATATCTGCAAAATTGGGTTAGAACTAAGTCTCAGATCCGCCTTCGGGAATGTCGGAAAATTGAAGCTGAAAGGGACTCACTTTTCTAGAACCTGGAGCAAATCCTTCAAAGTTTGGTCAAGCAGTCCTCCTTTTGACGTGTCAGATGGATTTGATATACCGTCAAGGTTGGGTGGTTCTTGGGCGGGGCTGAGGACGCGTTTTCGCTTTCCTGGTGTCGGGAACGAGGGCGAATCCGATGGCAATTGGGGAGAGGTAAGTTGCCCGTTTGTGGTGGCTGATGCGGCCAAATTATTGGTCTCCATGCTGGATCACGCTCTAGCTGGGTGGATCAACGTCCCAGCGAGAGATGGAAGAGTTTGGAGTCGAGTGATGTATCCAACTTCGCACGTTTCGGCTTCTCAGGGAGGTCAACGAACGCAAATACAGAATGGCCCTCTGAAAGCATTTAATGCGATCGTTCGAACCGAAATTGCGACGCTCGATAAGCTCCGTCTGGCTAGGGAAATCTTTTGGCGTGTTAGGTCGTTGGGGGAACGCCAGGCTTTGCGAATTTAGTCCAGCAGGGGATGGAAAGAGGACGTGACAAGACGCCGAAAAGCCCAGCGACAAAGCACGCCTGATACCAGCACAAGCGGCCTGTGATACACCAATCGACAGAACACCAGAACCAAGGCAAGATATTCAACAAACTAGTCTCAGTGGAGGATGTTGGATGGGGAGACTAAATGAGACGTTCTCTCTGGCGGCGGCGACTCAGGAACGTGTGGTGACTTTATGTTAGGCATTACTACGGCTACCCCAGGCACGTGCCACCTAACGTAATCAACCACCCAACGCTCGTTTCCACCCAACGCTCGCCCAAATCTCCCAAATTCATCCATCTTCAAACACCCACAACATGCACCACGAAGCAGTTATAGAGGCAGCGATTGATGATTTATGGAATCAGTCGACATACGTTATCACGGCGTTACAACGGCATTCAGTTGTCAAGAAAGGAAGCAAGCTCTACCCACTGCAAAAATCTCTCAGATTCGCAAGAAGAACAGCTTCTTTTTCATATTAATCAATTGTCAGATCGCGGTTTCCCTTGTACACCCCAAATCCTTCATAATCTCATTGTTGAGATTCTAAAATCGCCTGTGGGAGTCAAGGTGCCACGGTTCTGCCAACACCACAAGGATGTCATCAAGTCAGTTTACCTGCAAAATATCGACCAAAAACGCAAGATCGCAGACAATTCTACATACTTCAAGCATTATTTTGATCTTGTATAGATTGCTTTCTTCTACTGCTTTTTTTGTTTTTATCTTGCTAATTTATGTTGATTTGCAGCTACAGGAAAAAATCACCAAATACAACATTGAACCCGCGAATATCTACAACTTCGATGAAAAAGGATTCCTATTAGGCCTCATCCACACCCTCAAACGTATTGTATCAATTAGTTCGCTCAAGTCGGGCCATACAATAGATGCCAGCCAGGATGGCAGTCGCGAATTCATCACACTACTGATCTCAATTTGTGCAGATGGAACTTCACTCCCACCTGCTCTCATATATCAAGGGGGAATCAAGAAATATGCAAGATACTTGGCTGGAGGATTTTGATAGTGAAAAGGATCAGGCCTACTTTGCTGCTTCAGAGAATGGATGGAGCAATGATGAATATGGGTTAATGTGGTTAAAGAAGATCTTTGAATCTCATACAAAAAAGAAAGCAGGGTGTGGGTATAAGCTTCTTATATTGAATGGCCACTCCTCCCACATTAATATGGCATTCATCAATTACATGATTTCACATCGGATTCTACTTGCTGTCTTTCCTCCCCATTCTTCTCACCGATTACAGCCGCTAGATGTTGGAATATTTGGACCATTGGGTAAATCGTACTCAAATCAACTAAATGAACGGATGAGAACTGGAATGGGATTCATACGCACTACAAAGAGGTCTTTTTGGCAGCTATTTGATGCGGCATGAAAGGAGGCAGTTACACCTTCAAATATTATATCCGCGTTCACAGCAGTTGGCCTATATCCATTTGATCCGGACCGGGTTCTTAAAAAGCTCGCAATACACCCTTGCACCCCCTCAGACCAATATCGACCCAGAACCTCTACTTCTATTATTGGCATGCAGAAATTGATGAAGCAAGTCAAGCAGCAGCAGCATCGAATCTCTCATGATCTCAACAGAGTGATCCATGCGGGGGAAAATCTTGCTCTTGATAAAGAGATTCTTCTAATAGAGAACAGGCAACTACAGCAAGCTCTTAATCAAGAGAGAAGACATCGCAAGCGTGGCAGGGCAATGGGGTTGCTAGATCCTTCAAATCCATCATTGGCACAGTTCTTTTCACCAGCAAAGGTGCAGAGCATCCGCGAGCAGATGACTGCCGCGGAGGCCACTAAAAAGGATGAACAGGCCCGTAAGAAGGATGCCAAGTTGCAACACGCTATTCTTAAGGAGCAGAAGGAGGCAGATATCACGTCACAGTGGATGGAGCGGAAGGGAGCTCGCCAGGCAGCAAGGAGCAAAAGGAGATGGATAAGGCCGCGAGAGCTGCTCAACGGCAGATTGAGAAGGAGCTTAGGGATGCAAGGAAGGCTCAAGAGCAAAAAGAGAAGGAAGAACAAGCTACTGCGCGGCAGCAATCACGGTTAGAAAAGGCCAGGATTGAAGAATCCAAAAATCACCTTCCTAATCAGGAAAGTAGACCCTCAATTTCGCAAAGAGTGGCTAAATCGCGTTTTCAGAGCAAGGCCAGGGTGCCCACGGATCCGCTGCCGGAGGATTCTGATGATATCGCGATCCCTACTGATTTGATGACTGCCTGCTCGCTGAATCTGCCTCCACCCCCAGATTTCGCGTTCCGGGCGAGTTATTAAGTCCAACAAACATCTTCTGAATTAGCTATATATTTCTATATGTAATTTTCTATATATATTTTCATCATATAATATATCATATTAAAATCTAATCGCGTTGTTGAGATATTGTTGAAAAGATTTCATCATAGTGGTGGCGAAATGGCGAGCGTTGGGTGGTTGATTAAGTTAATATATTGTGTTTGCTCTCGGTTAGATAGTTAACAATCACACAACCAACATTATCCTCCTACACTTTAAGCTTTACACGTGACCAGCGAGCAAAAAACGGATTTCCAAGGTAGTTGACTAAGCATCCATAACATCTATGGATGAAAAATAAGCTCTCAACCAAAGCAATTCGAGAAGTTGCCGTTTTTGATTAGTCTAAAATTCCCTTGCTGTTCGCTGCAGGTTTCCCCATCCTGTCCTCATTGCTAGGGTGGTGGTATTTATCCAACATCGATGGATGTGCTCCATTAACAGCTACATTCTAGGCCGGGTGGCGGGCTCTCACTCTAGTCGGGTAGTATCCAGTTATTTCTCGCTGCTACAAGTATGCCATTACCACCTGTACAATTCCTTGGAAGACCCTCTTCTCACGTTCACTTAGGATGGACTCCGCGCCAGTTGGGCTTCGGACCTTGGACCTCTCACCTCAGTCCAGTGCGACTCGCCACAATGTTTGAGCATATCGCAACGTGTCGCTATTCCGCAAAGATATGGCCATAACTTAACCGTCATTAAGTTTGTTCATACTGAGCCTTCTTTCGGCCTGGCCAATAGTGACAGCGGGACGACTCGTGGTCCTGGATCACAGGGAAACTATACACCACGAGAGAAGAGTCGCGACAAGTCAAAGAAACACACCTCGTCTCCTTCAGCATACTTGATATCTGTATTAGAAAATTGTGGCTATGATGTCAGCATTGCAAAACCGAAAAGCCACAGCGTGGATTTATCGTATAATTCTCCCCTCGCTACGACCCGCTCCTCTATGAAACCCCGTCGAAAGACTAAGGTTAAGAGCTCCCGGTATCCGAATGCGCGCCTAGCCTGTGCTACAGTAGTTGCAGACTATCTTCGTTATGTTCATCCATTGCTTGAGTCAGAACCTTCTGGTCCCATTTCAAACCAGAGATTCGACAAAACATTGGACAATGCGCTTCTCACTGTTTTTAATGACGAAGTGGTCCAATATTTGTCAGATAGGGGTTATTCGATAGACGATGTGATGGCTTGGGCTTGGATACTTACCTCATCCCAACCTCTCCAGGCTGCAATGCGTTATAAAATCTTCGAAAAAAAGGCTTCTGAAAATAGTCTGGAAAGTGCTAAGGTTCCATTATTTGTGTTACTTTTCACTCTCCGGCGAGAGAGCATCTGTGCTACTGCTTTCAGGATCTTATTGTTCCAAGCTTGGGATATATTAAGTGATAACCTATCCAACGATCAAACTTCGGAAATTTCTTCTGGCCCTAAAAGGAGTGCCTGGAATAGATCTGGAGATGACAATACTATTATGATTCTTGCTGTGCGCCTTCTACGGCTTGCTGGGCAATTGTGGCCACAGGCCTTCCCTTCCATAGCTGCTTTGATTACCAGAACTCTTGGAACTGCCTCTGCCGCAAATAAATCGAGCGAGGCTTACGAAAAGAAGATTAGAGGTCTAACTATTTATTATAACAAACTCCTTTCACTTTTAGCAATGCCATGTCGCCTTGAACCGTATCGTTCAGCCATATTTCAACAACGCGCTCAGTTCCAGTTGCTAAGGGAAATGTCAAAATTTAACCCTCCCCTCCCTGTCACTAGGGAAGGCTATCAGGCTATTACTAACGTACAGCTGGCTCAAAAGAAGACTTCGCTGGAACGACAGTGGGCTAATTTTAAAGCTCAGTCGTGGCCTCCTTGGAAAGAGGAAAAACTCGGTATTGATTTCGAAAGGGGAAACGAGGGCAGTGAGAGTAGGGCGCTTAAGTCTATTTCACATATGAGAGATGTCGGATATGGTATGACTGCATGGGAGCAGACTGCAGCCATATACGCTGGATGGGATACGGATAAAACTCCGACGATCCAGACGAGAACGTTTCTTCCGAAGCCTAACCGCTTTCGGTTGTCATCATTTTCAGGACAAACATCCACGCAACCTTCCTCGAGAACCGGCGTTGGTATGACTAAACCCCCAGACCATGGAAGGCACTTCGATATCTGGTCTGCTCGGATACGCGCTACAAGGACTTTAAAGGAGGCGTGGGCATGTTTTTTGTCCTACAGGGATAGTGGACTCCCACCCCACAAAGCCATATATTTTGCAATGGCTGAAAAAGTTATCTTCCATGATCGTTCCCAAAATTCTCATTCACAACTCTCGACAGAAGCCCTTCCAGGTGATGGAAAGGAGGTTTTTCCCGAACCTTCTTCGCCGCAAGATGTCATTTATGTCCACTCCGAACCGCCAACATTGGATGATTTGCTTCAGCAAATGATTTCACAGAACATTAGACCCTCAGGAAAATTACTTATCCTTCTTCTTGCTAATTCAAAGTCTATTGAAACCGGTATAGAATACCTTCTCATTAGCAACCTCTCTGATCAGCAGAAATCTGCTCTTGTTTCTGGCCTCTTTCGAGGTCAATTAGTGAACGAGAAGTCCCTTGCTGATGTGCCGGACGACATTTTTGCCGCATTCATACAACTTCTTTGTAGGTTTTCGGTATTAAATGAGCCATCCGCCGATAACTCGGACACGCAAATGTGGCAGTTATTCCCGGTCTTGTTTTTTGCCAAGAAGGGAAGCAGCCTCTCTCCTTCATATTCCAATCGGTCAGGTGAAGCTGAGCAGTTTCATCGGCACAAAGCACTCACTCACGCGGTCCAACTGATGAAGTCAAAGATGCCACGGTATTTTCCAGCATGGAGTAATTTCTTGTCTGGATTAGCAACGGACAGAGTTAAGTTCAGCAACCACAAGATCTCTATTCCTATGCAGCGTGTTATATCGTGGTGGGAAGTTTGCCATGTTTTAACATGGATGCAGGATGCAAACATCCCCCTTGAAAGTCGAGGATTCGAAATTGCTTGCTCCGCTCTTTCAAGGCTTATTTTGGCAGCTAGGCAAGATATGGAAGGTGCTGAACACGGCTTAAAAATCGTCGAAAATGTCACAGGCCAGAAATACGGTTCGCCAGAGTCGTTGTCCTACTCAACAATTCGTGAAATGGTTCAGCAAAGCGTGGCTTTGCTTAAGCGCCAATTTGATTCGGTGGAATTGACGGCGGGGAAGGAAAGCATTCTGTCATCATTGGGGCTGTCAAGCGAAAATGGTGAAAGTAACATTCCTGCTATGCTACCAGGTATATTTGAATCAACAGCCCCGTCTCTGCTCCACGCTTATGTTCGGGTTCTTGGTTTAGCCAACGATCGAGCTGGGTTGTTAGAACTTCTCCGGTTGATGAGCAAACGTGAGGCTGGTCTAAAATTCTCTGCCAATGAACGCATGGGCGGCAAAAGGCTTGTACGTCGTACCGTGGTGGCCATAAGAGTGTTTTTGGAGGGAGATTGGGAGTTGACTTCTGGTGTGTCTGAGCCTGGGGCTTCGTACACCTCTCCTGCCTTAAAACATCGCAGTTTTATCTGCGAAGGAAATAATCCGGTCAACTCAGATATTTCCGAATCCACCCAAAAAGCAAGGGCTTTTGTTGACCCTATTGTCATTGAAGCATACGACATCATCGAGAATACGGAGCTCCTGTCCCCTTGGCCCACAGACGGTGAAATTAAGGAATATAAGGCTGTGCTAACTGGATTACGAAGATAGTTGCAAATATTTTTCTTGCATGTATATATACCCTTGTATATTGTATAATAACATATTAGATCTGAACATATTGATAACGATACGAACATATCAAGTTTCCTAAGCTATTTTAGTCTCATATCAGGAACTTGTAGCCCACAACAATATAAACACAATTAGTAGTATTATACATATTTACATACAATGATCAGTGATAGGACGAAAGGCAACAGAAAAACATGCGACCATCCATTGATGGATATCATCCCGGCATATGAGTGCTGGAGTGCACAAGAAAGATGCCAAGAGCCGTTGGGCCACGACAAACTTCGCTGATCCCTGAGCCGCTCCTGGCCGAATCACCGAACCAGGTTTGTTTGCTCCTCACTGGCAGAATGCAAACAACAATCTCAAAGATCTCTACACATATTTTCTCCTATTTAGTCCTTTCTCCCATTCTCAGATAATAATGCCTCGTCGCTTGGTTCCCTCTCCATTTACTCTCAATCGATTCACCGTTGTCCAAGTCCGCTATAATAGCACTGTCGGCACTGGCGCGCGTGGTTCGGTAATCGACACCCAACACGTCCCCGCACCGGGAGCAGGTCATATCAAGGTCCTTCTATTAAACAGACCAGAAGCCAGGAATGCTATTTCACGAGAGTTGCTGGACAGCTTAACCAAACATGTCAATTCAATTGATGCTGAAAATGGGAAAGGGCCTACGCGGGCTTTGGTTCTCGCCAGCAACATAGATGCGGCATTCTGCGCTGGCGCGGACCTGAAGGAGCGGGCCAAGTTCACGAGAGAAGAGTACGTATTCATATATTTTATTTTTTAATTTGTCTTAATCTCCCCGCCCAAGACCTTACGTCTCCTCCTTGGGATTTCGTTTGGTTGCCCATAGCTGTGCTTTTATACTGTAAACTTTTATCATTTGCAATTCACTGAATTCCCGAGGATATCCGCTAAATATGATTGTTGGTTATTTTGACTATAGGACCGAAGCATTCCTCGCCCAACTCCGACAAACATTCACAAACCTTGCTGCCCTCCCAATCCCAACCATCTCAGCCATCTCTTCAATGGCTTTAGGCGGCGGCCTCGAGCTCGCCCTGTCCACTAACCTTCGTGTCTTTGGCTCGACGAGTATTGTGGGTTTGCCTGAAACCCGACTCGCCATTATTCCTGGGGCTGGGGGAACTTATCGGCTACCCAAGCTCATTGGTGAAAGCCGGGCGCTTGACATGATTCTCACTGGTCGGAGAGTTAGTGCGGCAGAGGCTTACTTCATCGGGCTCTGTAATCGACTGGTGGAGGTCAGCCCTGAGGAAGCCGCCCAACCAGGCGCAGCGAGGGAAAAAGTTATACAAGAGACCATAAAGCTTGCCCTGGATATTTGTGAAGGTGGTCCCATCGCGTTGATGCAAGCCATGAAGGCAGTTCGTGGGTTTGAAAAGGGAGCGGAGGCGGAAAACCAGGCCTACCTAGGCGTTGTGGGGACGGAAGACCGATTCGAGGCGCTCAAAGCCTTTGCGGAAAAGAGGAAACCGTGCTTCAAGGGCAGGTGATTGTACGGGCAGTATATATGTGTCACATATATGTTCTCTGGGATGACTCAAGGGACGCGGGCTACACGCAGAGGACTAAGCAGAGAGCCTATGTCTGCAGAATTGCTACCGAGTTTAATTAACCTGTATAATATATGCGGAATTTTATCTAGGTTTTGTCTATTTCTCGCGAGAAAATCTGCCTTATTTCGACGAGTATCTATCATTTTGGTGGGGAAACACGCGGCGGTTGTTGTCTCGTCAAATAAAATATAACTCGACAAATCGTGAAGGGTGGCGGATGCGTCGTTCTGTTCGTGAACAGGTAGTTCATTTTCAACATCACAAGAGGCTACCGGACAGGCTACAGGATTAATATATGGGGCCATAATAGACAGCTGAACACCATACAATTTCCATCTAGTGACATCATGTTTATATGTGTTCAAGATTCCGCCACAGCAACCTGTTACGGTTGCATCTTCCGATTTCCCTCTCTTTCTCCGAGCCAGCTCCATCAATGCTCTCTTAAGGAGGTGTATGTCTCACTGAAAATCCCATATAGAGTTTTTTCGCTAAACTCGGAAACAAAATGCTTGTTTACTCTACAAAAGGACACCTGTTTAAATTGCATCAGCTGAGAATCAGTGTGGATGAACAGGGTTACTGGTGCATGGAGAGATTATACACTTCTCAGTGCCTAAGCAGTGTTCGTAGATCCATACAGCTAGCAATCCAGGATCAGGGATCCAGGTCACCCCTTCCCTTGGCCTTCTCTTGAGGAATCAGGGATTGCAAGATCCTAGTTACCCAATGCCAAAAAAAGCTGCAGGTATTGAACAATTATTGTCGACAACCGCTTCAGTGAGATTGAATTGGAACACCATGCTGTGTTTAAAATAGTTCCCATTTTTATGTTTTTATTACCATAGCTAGTCGGATGTCACAAATGAACCATGGAGAAAGGCTTTTTGATATCACCATGACCTTTACATCAGTTCACTGAACTCATTCTGTACCCAACCATTATTAGCTGCGTTATTCACAACAACTGGCTACTTTCAGCTCATTTCCTCATATCTGCTCCCTTGGCCATAAATTTTCAGCTCTTTGAATGCTCCACGGAGAATATTTAGGGAGGCACGACAAGGAAAATAGTCGAGAAGTTTTTATTATACATACAGCCCTTCAAAATATTCCTCACAAATTGCTATTCCTTGGAATTTGGCATCGGGCATGCAACCGGATAATGACATTCTAAATAGAACGGCTTGCCAACTACCGATTTGACATCCCAGACGGCAAAAAATTGCAAGTCGGGGGGATAAGTTTCCGATGCGAAACTTTGCTTTTCTCTTAACCACCTGAGTGAGGAGGCCTCGCTCCTGGTGCGCAAACCTGCTGATAAATTGTTGGTGACTTTGGTGGCATTCATAAAATCTTGGGATGAGTGTTGTGTTATGGTTAGCGACGTCTTGAGAAGAGAGATTGCCTTGATAGTCCTCTCTATGGTTTGACCCATCACTTTGCAAGGTCTCCATGAAAGTGCAAGGCTGTTGTTGTATCTTGATGAAGCCAGTAACGGCCTCATCAAGGATTATCTCCTTGGCTGATTCGCTTGTGGCTGTACCTAGGCTTACTGGGCCAGGGCTTTTGTTTGGCGGAAACACATTATTATTTGCTGATCTTGTTGTCCATGGAGGACAGGCCGGGGGGCTATTTTTATGCTCTTTTCGGGCTACCCGGCCCCGTATCCCACAAGCTTCAAACTTCGCCCGGCCCATTTGTAATTTTTAGTAACTATTCCTTACATGTGCGGCTCTGCGTGGGGTGGATGGTTTTGCGGACTCGATGGGTTTTCCCAGGGATCCGAGCGCGCTTGTCCTCCACCAAAGAATAAACAGTGCCCGGGGTGAGAGATACGGCATCTCAACTCCTGTATCAGCTAACTATTAATATGCCATCTCGTGCAGGGTACCTCGAGGTATAGTTAAGCATTGATCGCCCCAGCGAGTAGTGTGACAGCGTTCGAGAAACTGCGAGTGACATCTGACCTTGCCCACTCGCACTGCGCCGCGCCGCACCCAGATGAGTGTGCGAGAGAGAGTGCGTGCTCATCCCTTCCGTTATCAAATAATTACGCAAAGCAGGCTGCTGTCCATACAGCTGCTCACGGGACCAGGTTGTCAGTCAGGGCTGTCAGGCAGCTTAGTTATATCTAACTTACGTCCTCACCACCGTCGCCTTGTTGACTCCGCTGCTTTGCATCACATTCTCTCGACTGTCCTACCGTAAGCTCTCCTCATTTCTCCCTAGCAGAATTCATAGAAAATCCAGTTATCCACCCTTGTTGTTTGCAGCTAAATTCCATATATATATGTGGATCACCCCGGTTGTTTTTGCGGCGGATTCTGGATAACACTAACATTACCAGTCTGAACAACCATGGGATCTAACACCGCCAAACGTCTCAACGTAAAAGAGTTTGGGTTGACGGAAGTTTACCGCTGTGCCGAACCGCTGGTACCACAGGTCGAGTAAGTTTGCACTTTATTTTCCTTCCCGAGCCTGCCCTGCGCCGTGCCCAATATTTGCAAGTTTATAGTGTCACTGACTATATATCCTTGATATCACTACAGCATAGTATTTGTCCACGGCCTTAACGGTACTTCCTACAACACATGGGTAACCAAGAAGCCCGAAGTTTTCTGGCCTGGCGACCTTCTTCCTCATACCTTGAAAGGTCAAAATGTACGGATTTTGACTTACGGTTACGATGCGAATGTCACTTCTTTCGCAAGGGGCACGTCGAAGGAAAGACTACACAACCATGCCGAGCATCTGGCGGGTCAGCTCATTGCAAATAGAAATGTGAGTCTGTCTGCACTGAGACACAAAATGGGTCTGCATTTTATACTTGAAGTCGCTAATACAAGGGCCCCATAGCTGCAAGATGCGGTCGAGCGGCCAATTATCTTCGTATGCCACTCTCTCGGTGGTATCGTAGTAAAGAAGACTCTTCTATACTGTGAACATCTCAGACACCCGAGAACCCAACACATTCGATCAACATACGTCTCTACCTATGCCATACTGTTCATGGGAACCCCCCACAACGGGTCTGATCTAGCGAACCTAGGAACCGCGATACAGACCATATTCAGCCTCGTGCCAAGAAAACTTTTCGATACGACGCCGGCTCTGCTGAAGACCCTGAGGCCTGACAATGAGATTTTGCAAAACGTTAACCGCCAGTTCGCGGAGATAATGGGGAGGTACCGCATATATTTTTTTCATGAGTCGAAACCAATGGACTTGAAAGGCACTCGAAAGTTCATTGTGGAGGAGTCCTCTGCTGCGCCAGTAATCGAGGGGGTGGAGCGCATGGGAATCGAGGCAGATCACAGTTCCATGTGTCGGTTCGAAAGCGAAAAGTCTCCAGGCTATGAAGCTGTGGCAGAAGCTATCCTTCGCTATACAAGAGAGGCACCAGGTGAAATCGCCAATAGATGGGCACAAGAACACCGAGCTCGGAGAAATAATATGAGGGAGGAAGCTGAACGTCTTCGTAAGTTATTCCTTCATATTCCCACACATGAAACCAACCTTTGGAAAGCCCTCAAATTCAAATTTCTAATTGAGTTAGTGTACATGGATGATGTCATGCGACGGAGTATGGATAGGCTAGATTCACTTGGTAGGCCATTTGATATACATAACCCCCTTTCCCTTGTTGAACTGGTTCGCCAATATTCAAAGAGGCGAACTGGTTCATTTGTCTTTAGAGTCTCTTTTGCCTTGGAAAGCAGATGTTCCCTCAAACCCGCGCAATCTTTACTTGCCTTATTCGGTATGTCTTGGTAGGGGAATTCCGCTGACAGTCGTTCATAAAGGAAACTCAATATCATCGTTGCATACAGGACAGAATTCAGAGTTGATACCCATCACAAGATCGCAATTGATGTCTAGCGCCGAACTGCCCCCACCACAGGAGACTGGGGAACCTCTCCTTGTTGCCCCCCCAGGCTTTCACCCAAACTCAGTATTCGTTGGCATGGAAAAGGAGCTCGAAGAACTCCACAATCGACTCTTCAGGATGAAAAAGAGAGCGGAAGATGTCGTTTCCGTCCTTATATATGGTGGGTCGGGATCAGGAAAGACACACCTTGCCCGCCAGTACGTTTTCAAACAGCGCACTACGTACACCGGTGGCATCTTTTGGATTGATGCAAGATCCCGGGAATCATGCTGCCAATGTTTTTGGGACATTGCCGAGAGGGTATCCTCAACACTGCAGAACGAGACCCCGGACCCTGACTGGCGCGACAGGGACAAGTATATTAGCAAAGTATTGAAGTGGTTCAGCTCGAATCAAAATTGGCTTGTGGTCTTCGATGGCGTATCTTGTGATGACGATGACGAAATCAACGGGTTCAAGACCTTCATTCCATATAATACAAATTCGAGTATCATATATACTTCTGTCGATCGCACACTCAGGAAAAAGAGAAGATTGTTCGAGCCTTTTGGTCTGAAAGTTAGACCCCTGTCTGTTGAAGATGCCAGGAAACTCCTTTTCAAGGACCTCAACATCAAACAGCCGACTGCAGAACAGGTGCGGAAAGCAACAGAATTGGTGGAACATTTTGAGTGCTTACCACTAGCCATCCATGCTATGGGACATCGCCTCAGCGCAACTGGGAAAGCAATCGAAAAGTTCCGTATCAAACCTCAAACCACAGACAAACGACTCGCGGAACCATACCGTGGAATAATGGCCGACCTACAAAACAACCAACACATGGAGGCAGTCAATTTGATTACGGTTCTCTCCTTTTTCGGACACGACGTTCCTGTTGGCATGATCCATTTGGGCCGGAAAGCTCTCTTCGAATGCGGTGTCGAAATTCGCGCCCCCGAGGAGGATGGAAGTTCTGGAAGACACATAGATAACACCTTCGCCATACTAATTCGATATGGTTTGCTCGAGCGAGCGCTCGACCCTTATTTATTGAATGAACAGAGTCCCATTATTCGACGGAGCACGGAATTGTCTGATAGCCAACCTACTTCAGAACTAGACAGTTCCCAAACGAGTGGTAGCCAAAACACATCATCAATCAGGGGAAATAGTTCCATCGACGTTGTCAAAATACACACCGTGGTACAGACATTTTTCCGTGATGAACTCTCGCGACTCGGAGTTGGGGCGTTCGCTTGGTGGCTTATTGTATCGACAAGGCTTTTCTTGACGTCGTATGCCAATGCCACTGCCAGAATAAGAACTCAGCAGGCTCCTGGCCTCGTTAAGGACTTCGGGCAATATGAAACGCATGCGAGCGTTCTTCTAGGCTTCTACAAACAACTTCGACCCCATAAGGGTAACCCAGACCTACCCCCCGATTTGGTCCCATTAAACCACGCACTTTCTCAAGTGAAAAATGGTATCTCGGAAGAAATTAAACACCGGTCGCCAGTTGCGTCGCAGCAATTAATTAAACAGCAGAAATCTATTTTCGACCGAACTAGTAGCACATCCTCCATGCCAGATACGCCAACCAGTGGATCTTCCCGGTTTACCTGGGAAATGGATGTGGACCATGAAAAGACCCATTCGCCAATTGAATATATCTCTTCTCGTCAATCAACACAACATTTTCCATCTACTATTTCGCAGAATTTACCACTACCTGTTGTGGAGGATCAGGGATATGAGTCCGATTTAGAGGGTAGCCGGACTGCTCCTGCCATGTCGCCAGTTCCATCCCAGACCACTGAGGTACCAACATCTCCCACTGTTGGACAACAAGAGGAAGGTGATTGGAAAGTCGTTGCGAAGCCAACGAAGCCGAAAAGCCAGAGCTTCTTGGGGTCAGTGAAGTATCGTTTAGGAATCAGGAGAATGCGTGGCCAAAGAAATTTGGGAAGTTACAGACCCGTTCACCCCGTTGTGTCCGTTTCTGGAGTCCATGGCCAGGGGTCATCGAGTCGACTGAAAATCAACAATAGAAAGCAGGAACCTCCGGCTAGATCGCACGCTGAAGCATCTCTTGTTGCCATGCATCAGGCGAGTGCCGCGAGTGCCACATCTCGTGGTGAGGGAGTAAGGAATATGAATTTTAAAGCAACCCAGAAAGAGAATGCTCCAACTTATGCAAATGTTGTTGCAGGAAAACGCCCAAGTGCCTCTTCATCCCCTATCCGATTTTCTCCACCCATAGGTTGGGGATCAGATAATCAGCATGTCGAAAACCCAGTTGCAGTACATCCTAGAAGTGCACCGTCCCATCATGGCTGGTCTCCCAGGTCATCATCCGACCAATTGACCAACTCATACCACAGTGAGTTTGGTACGGGATCGTCATGGAAACGCCCGGAAATCGAACGTGTTGCAACTCCCCCACCACGCTTTCATTCCCGTCACCCGTCGCACTCATCAGAAGGATCGAGTGGAAACATTCTAGGGCTTCAAGACGCTACTCCACAACACTTACTGACAGCACCCGCCAGTCGACCCTTGCCATACGAAACTGATATAGCAATAACCAGGCCGCGATACTCAGGCGTCGTTGTCCCACCCCCAGCCACTCAAGGTCTTGGAGTTGCATCATATCCGAATGCTGGGCCTAATGGCAATTCTATGGGGCAATCAATTCCAACTGGCTATTCATCTCAGCCCATGTCTCGAAATGGGTCTGCTCAATCGAGCCAGTCCCTTCATACCGAGCCAACAAGAATACCCCCTAAATTTTCACCTGGCCTGGGGAAAAGGCGTTCTTCTCCCCTTGTTAACTCTGCTCAGCCTGACGTTTCCAGACTTGATACCCGTTCTCCCCAAATGATATACGGGCGCGGCGGTGGAACTGCCATCGTGTCTAGTCCAAGCAGCCCGAATTCATTCGAGGCTACTGTAATGTCCCGTGCATCTTCAGGCCCAGGTATGATGGTAGACTCTGGAGATGGTGTGACTCGAAGCTTTGTAGAATTCAGCCGTCGCCCTTCAACGCAGCATATCAGGTTCGGGGAACATGAACCCATAAACATTGCGGATGCACGGATGCGATCAGGGGTGTATGAAAACCCGACCTATGCAGGCCAAGGCGTCGGTACAGCTTTGAAACGTTCAACCAGTCCTCCCTACCCTGACCAGAATCTGATGCCTAGTGCAAGTGACGATAGCAAATTGCAATCTTTGATCGGCGGCCCACTAGAAAACATTGGTAATTTCCCGGTTCGTCGTCGATTTAGAAGCGGGAGTTCACCTGCTCGACCAGATATTGATGGCTACCTCCACCGTCAATGATCTTTTAGTTACTGCTAATTAATTGGTGACTGTCTCGGGTTCACGTCGACAAGTTTCTTTCGTCTAATCTGCTGAACATTTATCATTATCTGCCTTGCTTATGGGGTTTATTTGTTGTGTACGGCGAAAATTGGACTCTAGGTAAGCAAGCTTTTTTTTCTTTTTGGAGCGATGCAGCTCAACTTCCAGATGTATGGAATTCATTATGCATTTGATGGTGTTATATATGCTTTGTTGGCCGTAGTAATGGAGGGAAAGCAGGGCGGACGGAGTTGATGCAAAGAATGGGTGGATTGTTGACAGGTAATTTGTGTCCGTCCCGGGAATAATAATGGAAACAAGAAATTTGAGGGGTAAATGCACGGCTGTATTTTTTTCGGTGTCCGGTTTATCTATTCGAGTTTTAGATATAATATATACATGGCAGAGAATGATGGTAGTCGATCTGGGCTTGAAGGCGTAGAGCAATATTTCATTTGTTGTCAAAAAATTTCCCCTTGCAATTTTATTTTCTATAGCATATAATATATATACAACCTATAATATTGTTAGAAGAGTATTCTCAACCAGATTTAGGACCTGAAATCGTGTTCGAATCGTCTCTGCAATAATATCACATGACCATATCTCCATCATGCATGACAGGGGTGACGTCACAATGAAGCTTTCCAGGTAAAGCTATCCGCGGAATGACGAGAAACAACGTATATAAACTGGGGAATGGCTTCTTTTCTCCTCGCCTCATTGTCACCGATATATATGTCAGGAATATATAACATTCCATTCCCATCAGATCAAAATTCGGTTCAATTTTTTTTTGTATTTCGTCGACAATACCTCGATCCCATATTATTTTGCTTGACATTGATTTGGAAAACATTATTCCACCAGATCTAGGTTTTCCAAGTTACTCCGTCGGAAGAAGGTCATTCATATAATATCCCTGTCCGTACCCCGCGGCTTTCTATTGATGCGGAACCAAGAGACTTAGTTAGGTTCGCTGACCATACTGTCGTCCTCCTGCAGCATTCGAGCCTTGAAAGCAACATCAGTGTCTTCATATGATCAAGATGCCTTTCCTTGTCCGCGTAACTCCCGTCACGAGGGCGGCCCTAAGGCCAGCCACCAGCGTTGCAGTTGTTAGATCAACATGCTTCTCCACCTCCGCTCGTCAGGCAGAGAAGGGGCCCATCCAAGCAACCATGGAAACACTGAAAAAGGCAGACCGACTTGTGTCAGACGCTGCCGTGAAAGGAATTGAGACGGGAGGTATGTAGTAATGATCCCAGCTGATTTTTAGTTTCCAGCCTTCTCTTGTGCTGCTGCTTCTGTTGTTGATGGGAAGAGTTCCAATAGAAAAATCGTGTTGCCTTTTGGCCAGTTGGTTCCTTTTTCTTTTTTCGCACGCAAGGGCATGGGGCTGACAAAGGTGGTACGAGAATAGAGAAGGCAACCCACAGAATCAGAGATACTATTGGTGGTAAATCGAGAATGGTTGAGGGCGAGGCGTCTCAATTTAGGGACAGGGCGGGGGGCAAGGCTTCAGAACTTAAGGATGAAGCGAAGGCCAGGGCAGAATATCTTAAGCAGAAAGCTAATGAAGAATCGGAGGAAACGACTGGCAAAGCATGATTTAATGCTTGCACGTTAGAGACCAATATTGTCCGGAAAGGAAAAAACAGGAAGGTAAAAACACGGATATGTTTTAATATGCTAGTTCATGACTTAGGGCTATTCGTCATTGGAATGAAATGTAGGAATGGCAAATGCTATTTTGACGCCATTTGTATCACAGTTCATTGTTTTGTTGTGGAGATGGGCTCGTCCTGGACATATTTGTATACTTTTTTGTATTGGAATAACATTTAATGACCTAAGTCGATTGGGAATTTCCTTCTCTGCCAGAGGTCCATACGGCTCAAAGCAAGAAGTACTCATCATCCAGATGGCGGCAGCATGAGAACATATTCTCTCGTACTAAACCCAAATTTCAAAACATCCTTATCCATGAGTTCCATAAAGCGTCCCTTGGGAGCGGGCTCTCCATTCACAGTTGATCCATTCGCGCTCTCCAAGTCAATTAGATACGGCCTCACCCGACCGTCCCTATCGCCGTACTCGTTCCGCTTCTCGACAAAGCGGAATTGTAGTGCAGCGTGTTGTTTGGAGCAACTTGGATGATCAACCGGCAAGTCGACGACTAATCTTTCCCGCCCAATGAGCCAACAGCTCCGCTCACTCAACTGTATCGTCTCAAGTAGGTCCTCCCCCTTAAATACGTAGAGGCGCCAGGGGTCCTTTGCGGGCGGTTTCCGAGCTTCAGGGGGCTCATGATATTTAAGGATAACGGTGGTCAAACCGTCACCAGATTTCACCATGTTGGTCTCGGCAGCCAAGCGGCCGGTATTGGAAAAATTCGGCTTCTCCTTTTCTGGAAGCGGAGGAGAGTTTTCTGGCATTGAGTCTCCGGAGGTTTTGGAGAATGCATCTTTCTGGGATGGGAGTGGGTTTTTTGAACGTTTGGTGAATCTGGGAGATGGACTACGAGCCATCTGAGGATGGGATGGTCTTGTCTTTGAATTTGACAAACTTCGCCGTCTCCTGGACGACCTGTCACGATGGTCTTCGTTGTCCACCTTATCCCTGTATCGTCGTTCGTGTGGACTGCTCCTAGAACGGTCGTTTCGTGTTCTCGACGTGTCATCATAGTCTCTAGAGCGGCTTCTCAGACGGTAGGATCTATGTTCTCCGTGGGATGACTTGGCCGGGCTTCGGGAGTGTCGCCTGTAGTCCTTCATACGTGGTCGATCGTCGTTAAATCTTCTTCTATGGCTTCCACCATCTTTATTTTCAGCTTCTTGAGAACGCGTGTAATCAATGGAATGCGGAGAAGCTAAACGCTGCCGCCCGTTCCGCCCATCATCTCCGCGCCTAGGCATTGTTTTCATCGAATTGCGCGACGAAAACTGGATGTCGTGGATATCAAACCTGGGGATGATGCAATTTGGCAGCGAGGGACGGAGATTCTCTCGGCCCGACTTATCTCAGCCACTCAGTTCAGGGGGTAACTACTAACCCGATTTGAACTACTGCCACTTAGATGATAGATCAATCAACATCAGCAAGGACTGCATGGTGTTCAAAAACTGTTCTACTATTCTTATCTAGTCTGAATACTGGATCACTTGCTCTGCTTCATCCAAAAAATTTAACAGCCCTATATCTTTTACAGGCGATGAACCACATATGCAACTTCAATTTTGATGAATCGCATAAAGAAGTTAAAAAGTGGCCAGCTGCATCATGCAAGGAGAAGAACAGTTCAAAGAGTCAAAGATATGCTTTGACATTTTTCTTTCAACTCCAGGGCTACGTGAAATGACTTCTTGTTCAATCCACTCTTACTGATCTCTATTGTGAGTTGATCTGTAGATGGAGAAGTATAACTTTTGTCTCTCTTAGACAAATACAATGGTAGAATTGAAATTTAAAAGATTAAGGCTATCATCCAGTCAATGTTGGAAAGGATTTCGGCGCCCTAGCGGATGTTAGGATCAGGCATGGATGGCATCGGGATGCTAACCTTTTGACCCGAGAGCTAATAATGATATATGACAACATCAGCGAACCGGACATAGTGGATCGACTTGGCCATGTCCGGGCACTCATTGCCTTTGCGCGTCTCGCTCCATCACCCGAGGGTACATTGAAGAGATAGAAAAGTAGTCTAGTCTACCACCAATTGAGTAACCTAACCCGACAAACACTTTGGCCATTTTATTATCTCCAATGGCGGTAGAACGCATTTCCGGCAAGATCCCCATCAACAGTCACCGTAGCATAATAGCTCTCAGTTGCGGGATGGGGAAGGTATTTCTCTCGCAGACGGTGTGCACCAAGCTTAACAGTTTTCCTTGGGAATGTATTAGATATGACAATTGAAGAAGATCATCCTGGTGTACCTGAGTTCCGTGAATGTTTTCCCCAGATTCCGTAGTTCTCACTGAATAGTCTGGCAGCTGAAGATAGCATAGCATCTGTGACTACATCACCAGAAAATATCTCATACAATTGCTTTTCATTTTAACATTACCATATTTGCGTATCTTGCTAGGCTTGTCTACGGGAGTAACCGTGGCGGGTGTGAGAAACCTGACCGTACGAAGGGTAGGAGATGACGAGGTTGAAGCTTCTGCTGAAAGCGGCACTGTTGCATTTGGCACACAATCTTAGAACCTATCCATGGTGATAGAGGATGGAGTGACAGACGGGAGATGGTGGTCGGCGGGGTATTCTCTTGTTAGTCAAAGAGAGGCTGAGCCTGCTGAGATAAGCTCGGCCCGACGTCTTAGTCTTGATTTGGAAACAAAATGCGGGCAGTGGTGTCCACCACGACGGATAAATGCCGGTTTACTTTCGTGCGCCTATTCGAACAAATGATTTAATGAGGGTATGCTGGATACTTATATGGAGAGTGCGTAATTAACAACTTATTATGCTGAAACAGTCCACACTGTCCTGCTGCTGTGGTGGCTTGCAATTGTTTGGTGAATTGCCAATCGTCCTACAATCGACGTCTACATCCTCCGCCCGTCGAGAGCAACCTTCCATTTCACGATGCGGCAGAAGATTTGCTCATACCAGTAACTCATATCCGTTGGAGTCTGAGCCGGACTTATCGTGGCCTACGACGCCGACTTTTTCCCCTTACGACATATTCAAACTGTCCAAAGCCGAATGTTATTCTAAGACACGATATTATGATCTTGTCAAACTCTACCACCCCGATCTGCAGAACAAAGATCATCCGTTATTCAAGAATGTGCCTGAGGCCATTAGGCTACATCGCTACAGACTTATAGTTGCGGCACACGAGATTCTTTCTGACCCTGCCAAGCGGGAAGCATATGATCGGAATGGACATGGTTGGCACCATCGTTCTGAGCTCTTCGCTCAAAAGGCGCCCCGGAGAATGGACGTGCGATATGAAAGAGGCATGGGCGGGGATGACTCAATATATAGAAACGCTACGTGGGAAGATTGGGAACGGTGGCATCGAAGACATGACCAGAACCAAAGCGAAGCCTCCACGGTATCGCATGGCACATTTGCGTCATTCCTCATTCTGTTGATGCTTTTTGGTGGTGTAGGCCAGGCGGTTTCAATCGGAAATTATTCGAGCCATGTTGCAGATCGCGCGAGAGAATCTCATGAGAAATGTGCCAAGTTTCTGCACTCCAGGAGGCAGCAGACTATTGCTCAGGTGGACTCGTTCGATTCTGGGCTTCAGAGCTTCCTGATAAGGCGGGATCCATATGGTTACGGATTGAAAGAGGAAGAGGAGGAAACGTATCGAAAAGTTCTTAGCCCCAACAACAAGTCTCACGCACTTCATGCTATTGAGACGCCATCGCCACCGCCAGAGAAGCCGCCGGAAATAGCAAGAGGTTGAGAGTCAACGAGGCCTGACCCTTTCATTTTCGGCCACTTGTTTTCTGTGCGTTTATTTTTCTATTTTTTTGTATTTCTGCTTCGCATTTCCTGGGATTTATCATCGTACGTGCATTGCAGGCGTTCGAAATCAAATTGTATCTCTACTCTAGATCACAATCATTCTTATAGTTCAGCTACACTAATAGCATCGGTTCATTTGTGAAATGGTCCAGTTCCCTTTTGCTTTCTCTATATCTCTGTTTTTCCACTTTGCTGCATCCCTATGATTTGGTCAAGAGGACATTCAACTAAACCCTCAGCACTATATGGGATATCACACAAGTCTATTTCTAATGAGTGCAGAGGGTACTCCATGAAGATCAACACAAACTCCCATGGAACATTGGGATTTATTCCTCTCAGTAATGTCCTGCATCATCGACAACAGGGCAAGAGTTACGGTCCATCAAATGCGTCTGGAATGGGACCAATTTCTGTCTATACACACTTTTTGCACCGCAATACATTAGGAATGATGGTGACTTTAACGACAAAGGCTAGTTTATCCCACTACCACTGCGGTCCATTTCTGAATAGGTCAAACTGCACTGCTGTTTAGTAGACGCAATGGCCTCTCACGCCATTGCCGGTAGTTTTGCAGCGCTGCTGGGCCCCTGCATCCAGGGGATTTCCCATGAGCCGTTCGAGTTTTGCAAACGAGCAACTATTCTGACCACCCCGTCGTGTTGGAATGAGGATAGAGGGAGGAGAAGCTGAAACTTTTATCTAGCTTTCCACCGTTGCTACCAGTTTCATATTCGATGAATGAAAAGGAGATGTTTTTTGATGCCTATGTGTTCGACATGAGCGAGTGTTTTGGTGCATATCATTTCTAATAGCGCTAGGCTAATTGTCATTGGAACGAAGATGGAAAGCAAGGTGAATAGACTTCTAGATAACGGCTGTCTAACGAGGTTACTGCGGAGAGGAGCCCCATACTGTTTGATTCTGTTTATTTCTTGGTCTGCAAGATGGTAAGAGGTTAAAACGTCGAGGGGTTTCCCCTGTTCAGGCAGTGTTCAAGCGATTGGCAAAGAGCAACAGCTAGGCCTCTGGGGTTGTTCTTGGCTTATGCTGAGTATGGAAAAAGATGAAAAAAAAAAAAAAAAAAAAAAAAAAAAAATCACTATCCATCCAGATGTTCATATCTTATTGTGTCGGCACCTTGGCAGGGTATTGCAACATATCTCCCGGAAACTCAAGGTTAGGGCTTTTGAATTTCGGCCTAGGTATTCATAATTCTTGCCTTCTTCAAAATGTAGATTTGGGGGCCAGGAGTGCAACTTTTTTTTTTTTTTTTTTTTTTTTTTTTTTTTAACATGCAGGTTAGCAGATTCTGGAGTGGTTCTAAAGAATGTCATAATAGAGATACATTGGATGATGGGTTCTTAGTGGAGAATGGACAAGTCTCATATCGAGACCTGATATACGTTTGTTTGATCTCAGAATCGAGAAGGGCGCGACTCGTCCAAGGCTTTCCTCGAGAAATACAAATTCCAATCCCTGGCGACATCCATGAACGAACACACCCCGGCTGAACCGTATTCAGATTTGAAATCTGGAGGCATGTCTCCCGCTATTCCCACGCTAGCTGTTTAGTCTTCGTAAGTTAACCCCCTTGCGCCATGGTACAGAGTAGGAAATATATGGAGAATTCTGCTCCTCTTCTCCTATGTAATTTGTATCTCCGTTAATGGCAAATACCATAACCCGGTCGATGCACCAGACCCGCCCGTTGCCGGTACTATATGCGAGCTTCATCAAAATCCGGAGGATCATACACCTCGATCGAATGTCGACTTTTATCAACAGCCGGGGAGGCCCAAATGGCTTTGGGGGGGAAAATCATTTAAAACCCCCCCCCCACCCCAAAATTTGTTGCCCCGAGAAATCGAGACCCTTGGAACATTTAAAATGGGTATACAAAGGGGGACGCAATAACTTGTCCCCCGGGTTAAGTTGGGATCCTCTTTGGGAGGGGGCCGGGGAAATTTTTTTCCCCCCCCCCCCCCCCGTGTAAATAAAGCTCAGCAAGGACAACTCGTAAAACAAACCATTCGGTCCTCGAGTCAATGCCTCTAATGAAATCAGAGGAAACAGCTGCCAACTTCTTATGAGAACTGAAAACCGCGAGGTTTTGCCTGCAATCAAAAATCAATTATGGCAGAGAGCGAAGCAGATATCATCGTTGTAGGAGGTGAGTTCCCACCTTGGAAGATATTGACGCCCAAGTAATCTCCTATTAACCGTCCTCTTATTTAGGGGGAACGGCGGGTTTGATTACTGCCGGCCGTCTGGCTCAGGCTAAACCGGACCTCTCGATATTGGTGATTGAGGCGGGAGCTAATTATCGAGGTAACCAGATGGTGGTCAACCCAGCGATATACCTTTCGCATATCGCGCCGACGTCGACGGTCGCCAAGTTCTACAAATCCAAGCCCAGTGATTACCTTGCAGGACGAGAGGCCATTGTCTCGACTGCTAACATCCTTGGAGGAGGCAGTTCCATAAATTTCATGGTCTATGCCAGGGCCCAAGAAGTAGATTTTGATGATTGGAACACAGAGGGTTGGAGGGGAAAGGATATGATACCGTTCCTTCAGAAGGTAAATACAAAATACAATGCAATAGTTTGAGCGGTTTCTATTGCTATACTTTAAGCTCCAGTTCTGATACCTAACTCATTGCAATGCTCGTCACCCTAGATCGAGCGATTCCAAGATAGAGATCCCGAAATAGATAAATCTATCCATGGCTACAACGGGGAGCTGAGCATTTCGGCGGGAGGGACATACGTGCAGGACTCGTTCCAGAAAGTTTTCTTCAAAGCTTGTGAAGAGATTGGTATCAAGAAGGTTCCAGATGTACAGGATTTCAAGACGGCAAATGCTGTTGGAGTAAGTCACAAGATTCCTAACCCGGCTATATCTATCTGCCTTTCTTTGTGATAGATGCGAAGCTTTTTGTTAACCAGTGTAGCGATGGAATATGTGGATCGATGAGAAAACCGGCTTGCAGCAAGATGTGCCTCACAATTTTTTCTTCCCAATCCTAGATACAGGTCCTCACCGACTCGACGGTAAAATGAGTCCTCTTTGATGAATCCAGCCGAGCATCTGGCGTTGAATATATTCCTATGGCAGACCCTTCAGCAGACCCGATTGTAGCACGCGCGAAGAAACTCGTCGTGGTTGCAGCCAATGCGCTGGGTTCTCTCCAAGTCCTGCAGAGGTCTGGAATTGGTAATAAATCGAAACTTGAAGCTCTAGGCATTCCAGTGGTTTCTGATTTGAATAGGGTGGGGAGCAACTATCAGGATCACAATGCTATCTTTTATTCATACTCCTCAAAAGCGACAGCGGAAGAAACACTAGATGGGCTACTCACTGGCCGCCTCACTTTCGAAAAAGCAGTGGAGCAAAAGGCTGCCAATTCCTGCTTTGGTGGAATGGCCTCGACTGCTTCGGAAAGCTTCGGCCCACCGACGCAGAAGTTCAGGAATTTGGCCCAGCATTAAGAGAGGCGTGGGATAAGAACTTCCGTTCCAGAGAAACTCGGCCGTTGATGCTTATGTGCACAATTGCAGCGAGTCTAGCAAGAAAAGGACCACCAGTTGAAGGACAATATTTTTCCATGGCTGCATATACCGCGTACCCATACTCACAAGGGTCGATCCACATTACAGGCAAATCAGTCACCGATATTCCAGAGTTTAATACCGGCTTTCTCAACCACCCTGTGGATGTAATAACGCTGATATGGGCATATAAAAAGCAACGGGAAATCGCGCGAAGACTGCCATATACAATGGTCCCCACAGTATTGGTCATCCCATATTTCCGCCCGGGTCAAAGGCAGACCCCGAGATAGTCGACGCAGCTTCTAAAGCCCAGGGATACCCAGCGCCGATAGAATACTCTGAAGCAGACAACAAGGTCATTGAACAGTTCATCCGCGAGAATCTCACCACTACATGGCATAGTATGGGCACCTGTGCGATGAAGCCAAGGGAGCACGGGGGAGTGGTAGATCAAGATTTAAATTGTCTATGGTGTTAAAAACTTGAAAGTCGTGGGTAAGTCTAAGTTTTGAATTTCTTCAATAAGCTTCCCCCTCTCTGTCATGCGATTGATGATGACGGCTATCTTATTAGATCTGTCGATATGCCCTGCCAATGTTGCCGCAAACACGTACTCAACGGCGCTTGCTATTGGGGAGAAAGCTGCGAGCATTATCGCGAGGGAGTTGGGAATCTCTGCGTATTCAAGTGGATTCTGAGATAGTTTTCACTGTTATGAACTAAGGATGTTGCCAGTGGATGACCGAGCAATGCTCATGAATAACTATGTTCAAATGGACGTTAAGTTATAGTGCTGAAATTGAAAGTTTGGTTTCAAAATCCCTGTAAAACTTTAATATATGTCTTGCATATGATCCCGAGGTTTTACCCAGAATTGTAATTTACATTGCTTGCTCCGTACTATGCAGTATGTAGCCTGTTGAAAAAAAAAGATTGATGTTCAACAGCACAAAAGCGGTTTTTCCCCCCAGGTGAACTGAAGGACGCAAGCTCCAAGGGCAAAGCGGGCGGGTTGCTGGCATGGCAGCGCGACCCAAGGGCCATCGCAAACCTTCTCACCCCTGTACCGGTTCCAAGCGGCGCTATTTTGTAAGGCGTGATACATCGCAATTACATACAACAATAAGCACTTGCAGTAAACTAATGGCTGTGCCGATCCACTTGTGGATTAGGCAATTGATTTCCATTGTCGGGAAAGCAGGAGTTGAGTGGAGAGGAGAGTTAGTTAACTCAATGCTTCTTACTCATGAAGCCACCAGGACGCCGAAACCCATGCCCAGGAACGAAAATCGACAAGGTCCGGGTAGATGAATAGAGATATTCGGCTGCCTTGGTGAAAGTGAAAAGCCCTGTATCCAAACAAGGGTATCCATCACATCAAAAATGTACAGGAAGAACATAGGAAATGCTCTAACCAGCACGGTTCTGGTCCAATTTTGAGAGGGATAGATGAATATAGATATCTATATGTACTGTACAATGAAACTGCTCCGAAAACAGGCTCATCCAATATATATTCTTAGAATTTCCATTGAAGATAATGGGTTCTCTATCACCCGAAGTTTTTGTGAAGACATAAAAAGCGACTCCCTCGGGTACAAATATATATGCACATGGATGGATGTGATAGAGGAGTAATATTAATAGAGATGCCACTATCGGGATAAAATCATGAAAAACAGATACATGGTTAGAGCGAATAGGGGAATATTGTATGGACAAAACTTATAATAACATGATAAAATAAATAAAAAGAAAGGGAATTTTGAAATGAAATCCAACTCAAATCACGAGTGCGAAAAGCAAGAAGCTCCGAAGGCGACGCCGCCATCTGTAACGCTATCAAGAACGCGTGGGATATTAAAGAGCTATTTCCGACAATAACATATATATGGTTGCGCTTTGTGGAGTTCTCCCAACAATTTGCATGCGGAAGAAAGACAAAACCTGATAACAGACGGAAATCATTTCCTAGAATCGCGGCTATGGTACCCCTCAAGCTCAGAAACCGGAGCTTGCTGCTGAGGGGTAGGCAGTTCGACCGGCACTTCACCTATCTTGTTTGATTGATCGTAGGTGGGATAGGCCGACGGGTTTACTTGTAATCGGCTCTTTCGTTGTCGACTGCGCCAGGCAAAAAAGGCAACGAGACCGAGCAAGATTACCCCGAAAGACACGCCGAATCCTATGCCGAATTTTGCCGGCCGTGAGATTCCGGGAGATGACAATGCGGGTTGAGGATTATCGGAATATATGGTGGAGGTCGGTGAGCGAGTAGGTTGAGTTTCGGTGGGGACTGTTGTTGGAGTTTTGGTGAAAGCTTCGTTGGGAACTGAGATGGATGTGGTCGTGGTTGATGATGCCTTGTTAGAGGTGGTCTTGGAAATGATTTCGGATGTGGTCTCCTCGGGAAGGGTCTCGTTCGCGCGACGTTTAATGGATCCATCATCGTTCAAGAAAAAGCCACGCTTGTCTGCGCAGCAGGTTGGATCTTTGACACAGCAATAGCTGCCGTCTCTGCATATATTGACTCGTGGAAGGAATCCAGATGAATCCTCTGTTCATTTGTGAGCCGTTAGCCCATGACATTGCATATACTCTCTGTTTCCGCTGTTCTAATATCACGGCCGACTCACCCTCTATACAAACTTTGGCACAGTTGTCATTCCAAGGGTTGGCGCTGCATGGCGCGCGGACGAGAGTATCTGAGTCCTTGTTGGAGACGCACAATCGATCCGGTCGGCATTGCTCTACAGTCTGGCAACAAGAATCGGAATCTGGGCATTTCGTATTGTTGCCAAAACGTGTTCCTGTGGAGCCATAGCATATTATCTTCTGTTGGCTGCTCATTTTTTTTTTTTTTTAAATCGAACGGCGAGGATAACTCGCGAGGGAGTATGGAGAGGGTGTGTGAGGTGTATGTATGACGAACACCCATTCTTGACGAAGAAGCCATGAACAACGCACGTCTGTGCCCCTTAATATTAATGCTTAAATAATGAATCCTTCTGCGGCCCCAAAGTTCCGTTGAGGATCGAGGTCTCCTGGGTTTTCAACTCGCCATGGTTGGTCTGCAGCCTGCAGGGAGAGAAAATAGTCTGCCCCCAACCTCTCTGTTACCCACAATCCGTCCAGAAACCAACCAGTCGTGTTGGATTTCCGTCTCATAACTCGTACTGGTGCAAGTCGGTGCAGCCAATACCTCACTGAGTCTTAGCGCGAGCTGTCCTCTTTTTCTTCACAATACATTGGTGTCTTTCTTCATTTTTCAACAGGCAAGAAGGGCGAACAACCCCGATCGCGCGCTGATGAGTTGGTAAAGTTTGTTTTGTTAGGTTGCATTTGAGAACTTGGCTTGTTGATTTCAGCAACGGATTGTACCTGTCGATTTAATCAATAAAGTTAATCGCTAAGGCTAGCGTCCTCAACCCTGACCGATCTGCCATGGCTTTCCGTAACAAGGTCCGCCGAATGTTCAGCCCTGTCAAGGGATGACAGGAGAGCTTGAGGGTTGGGATCCAGCCAGCCTTCAAACGACACAGCAGATGCCGCTTGTGGTGTGTCTGGTTGTCAACTCCGAGCAGTGTGTGCTTCCAACGGCAGGGTCTCCTTGCTAAGAATGCAATTCTTTGACCGGTTCGCCCGGATACGTTAGTGTCATCTACACAGGATCCCTTTTACGCGTGGCACTCGAATTTGGCTTTGGTGAACAGATGATTAGCGCTGATTGAAGCCGATACAAACATAACGCAATTTTAGGTTTTTGGTTCCCTACAGTCACCCTTCCGGGGCGGTAGAGGGTGAATCGCGTTGGCGAAGCGCATTGTGGCGGAAAGCGGTTAGGCCATGTTTGAAAATCAAGCGCTATGTTTGTCCATGCAACATTGTTAAGCGAACAAGTAGAAATTGATGACTGCGGCGCGTATAACTCTTGGCTGTTTCCTTGGTGGAAGTTTGATGCGGGATATGATGGAGCGTATTCATATTGACTGGTATCTCGGTATCTCCAGCGACTCTTCAGCGAGCATTTCATCAAAACCAAAGTGATCGAAAAAAAAAAAAGGCCAAGATTCCAGAACTGGTTGCTCCCCGTGATTGTCAAAGAATAAATAAACTGATGACTCCCGCTAACAAAAAATGCCAATGCCTATGAAACTTGCACGCAGCCAAGAGAGGAGAACCAATGAAACAAGGGATGATGAGAAGACTATGAAATCCATATTCAAGTGATGTGTACCCAGCTAGAAGTTCCTCACTGGGAATAAATATTTATCTAAGTGGATGAAAAATAAAATCAGAAAAATGGAAATGGCTATACATATTCATCCTGCATCATCCCCATATCCATATCAGATTCAAAGCGGTCAAAATTCGGCTGAGAGAAGGGTATACTCTGCTGGTAATCCACAGCTGGCCACTCCCAACCAGGTGGATTGTCGAAGAACCCGTCCCAGAGACCTAGCAATTGTGCTATGAACCGGAACCCTGCAACGAGGATTGCCCACACAGGACTTAAAATAGCTGAGAGGTGCGACCAGCGCCAGAGCATGGTCGGTATCACTAGGGGCATCCGCGGCGCATTAGGATCGAGACAATTCCGCTCGCACGTCGCGGCATACAGTGGATGACAATAGAAGTCACACATAACCAACTCCGCAAAGTACCAAGTGAAGAATCCAAGGACAATCCAGCTAAGGCGCGTGAGACGGAGCCGGTTGGTGCCTGGGTGACGATACCACAGTCGAGGTAAGGGAAGTACAACGTAGTGATAGTCATCGTTATGGAGGCCACTGGCATCACAGGAAGAATCCATATGGCGACGAAGCGGTTTCTTACTAGGTTTGGTGCTTTGCGATAATAAAATACTAGCGTCCTTGGTGATCTGGCGTTCAAGGCTTGCAAGCCCGGTCTGCGTCGCGTTGATACTCTGAACGAGAGATTGGAGTTTTTTATTCAACCGTTCAACCACGGTGTCGTCTGCCTGACCAGGAGATACATCATTGGTCTCCTCTTCCCACGCCTTCTCTTCCTCTTCACTTTCAGACTTAATAAAAGGCTTAGAATCCAATATTGTTGAGTTCTCATTAAGCAGCTCCTGTAAAGAGTCAAGGGTGCTTTCTCCAACCAACAGGTCATGGTTTCCAGATTTTGCGTCCTCAATAACCGCCTCCAACGCGCTCCGCGGTAATTTGGGTTTTTTTAATGTTTTTGGAGGATCTCTCTTTATCTTTGGTTTCGGCCTTGTCTTTTCTTGTAGCTCTGGTGACGGTTTTTCGGGCGGTGGCATTTTCGGCGGTGACTTTTGTGACAAGGACTTTGCTGCCTCTGCTAAGCGTCTATTTCTGGGCTGGTTTTGAGCTGCTATCGTACTAGGCGAATTAATTTCAACAGAAGGATCTTGTGGGAGTTCTACGGTATGGTCCTGGGCAGGCGTATCTATCCATGCACCAGTCACCACCGGGGTCTTAACGTTTAAGAGGGTATTATCAACTGCAGTCTGCTCCGGTGTGCTGGCCACACTCGGGCTTTCTCTTCTCGAAAGTGTCCGTAAAAGCTCCTGGGGGTCGTTTTTAGATAAATGTCTCGGTCTTTCCCGATCCATCTCGCGGTATATAGTAATGGGAGAATTTGGTATATGTTCTCCTTCTATTGACCGTCGGGCCGGCTCCTGTGGCACCCTTCGTTCGCTTTCCGCCAATCGAATTTCAGTAAACGCTTTCTTCCTGAATTCTTCAATCTCGTTCCTTGGAGCGGGATTATTTCGCACGGGTGGGCTATCAGAAATTTGGAATGATCGGGCAGTAAAGTCGATATCATGCTCTAGTCCTTCGTCGGTTGACTGTACCGTTCCATCATTCACATGGTTATTCCCATTTGGTCGACTAGATTTGTTTAGCCAATCCTTGGACACGCGCCCGCGCAACCCCCACGTCTTTGGAACGTTGAGGGAAGGTTCTACATCTTCCCGAAACGCCTCCTCTTCATTCTGGCATTGTAGATTCTCTAACGACAAAGCAGCTTTCGGCCCGACCTTAGCTTTGCTGAAAACTGGGGATTCTCGCTGTGTAACCTGTTTCAACCGCGCTTGATCCAAAGCATGTTGAGCAAGGTTTCGTCGTAACGACTCATCTGAGATGTCGCTAAAACTAAGACTAGAGTCATGGATATCACCCGTACCAGCGTATGCGTCCTCGCGTCGTGTCATCCCAGGGCTCGGGGAGACGCTTTGTGTCCGATCGAGTTGTGGTTGATCGTAGGAAGGGTCAAAATGGTCTGGAGCGACAGATTCGGCCAGGATATCCGCGTCAGAAATCTGTTGGTAGGTTTCGATAAGTTCGTCCGGAGGGGGGCTTGAAATTTCCGCCATCGGTGATGGTTCAGAGAATTTCCTCTCCCTCGCCATCACTCGTCTTGGAGGGGTTTTCACTTCACCGCCATCGTTGGCGGGTGGAGGGGGGCTGGCGGCAGCCTGGAATGCGCCCTTCAGCGTCCTGGTATTGTTAAACGTGATGCGCGATTGTGCGCCATTCCCAGGACTTAAAGTAGGAATTCGCGACTGATTGATCATGTTCTGCGTGTGGCCATTTCGTTGCGGTCGTCGAGTTCGAAGCTCGTCATGGTCGCGATCTTGCGAGTTAGGAGGGTGGGCGGTGTGGTCACCGGTAGACATAGCTTGAGTTACACTAGCCCCAAAGTTCCATCATATGCAGCGCCTACATAGCGCTAGATGGCTATATCGTTTGATGCTTTCCCTTCCAAAAATCTCAAGTCCGGCGGGAGGAGGCTGTGTGTTGTTCAATCTCGGATCGCGTCTGTGTGAGGGCATGACATGGGAGTCCCGAAAGGGACTAGCGCGAGTTATCGCTCTCCGCCATAGTTACCGTTCGAACATAAAGCTTAACCGCTGGATAAAAAAGATGTCAGAATTGACACCAGCTCATTCATGGTTTGGTCTTCTCCGCTATAATAAACCAGACGCTGACTGGGCACCAGCTGATAATTCATTCTTCATTCTGCGCCTATATTTAGCTTCTCGATTGGTCTCCGTTGTATGATATTTCTTTGTTTTATAATCATAAATGCTCATGGACTTTGTCTATGCTATACTGCCTTCTTCGTCCATGTGAGTGCCAACAGATCTGTATGACTGATGCAGCCCACGACTGACGATTCCATAGAATAAATCCCACAATATCTGGGCATTGCGATGACTCTGCACTTGTTGTAAAGTTTGAATTAGAGGCCAATTGCGGGCTCTGACAAGGAGATTGAGAATATCCGAAGAAGTACCACCAACAACAGGTGAAAGAAACGAGAAGGAGAAAACGAAAATATGGCAAAGCCCACCAAAGCTGCCTCAAATAAGAAACTGTCCGCATATACTACGAAGCCCCCAGATTCGTCTTCCAAAAAAAGCAGACTCTCAACAGCGCCAACCCCCTTCACCAAAGTACCACAATCGCTCAACCCATTCCTAGCATCCCTCTCACCAAAACATGTCTACCTCATCCACCTAGACACACTCCCAGAAAAGCACAAACGCCAGATTTTCGCCCTACCCCTCTTCCTAAACATAGTCATCTCAGCCTTGATCCTCCTAAGAGTCTACACAGGCTACTCGACCTACATCGACATTCTCGCCTTGGCGTTCGGGCAAGAGAGCCCCGCGCAAGTCGACACAGCAAATGCAAGCTGGTCGTATCTATTCACCACCCTCCTCCGCAGGACCCTAACCTTTCTCTTTGATTACCTTCTCCTCGCCATCCTCCTCCCCTGGCCCGTCCGCTTTGCTCTTGGACCCGCGCGCTGGCGCCGCAAGGTCGGCTTCCAAGCCCGCGAAGTCATCGTGCGAAAAAGCAGGGCGTCGTGGAGCGATGGGCTAAAGCCTCCAACGTGGATCCGGGAGGATGACGAGACGATAATGACCAAGGTCATCCCAGCTGTCACGCCGCAGCGGCTGCTGAAGACCGGGTATCTGCTCATTGATGCGGATTGGGATCTGGATTTTGCGGCAATGGTCAAGGCGCATGAGCTTGTTGCGGAGGGGGTGCTGAAGTTTGATGATTTTTGGACTTCAGTGCTTGTGCATGGGGGTGGGGAGGAAGGGGCTGATGGGCTATGGTGGCTGATATGGAAGGTTGGGGCCGAGGAGGGTGGCGCTGGCAAAGGCGCGCGGGCAGCAGACGGAGGAACGCTGTCAAATTCCCAGCGAGACAAAATTATCATGTTCCAGGAGAAGCTGGCGTCGATGGGGAAGGAGGATTTGTTTTTCCGTTGGGTGGAGTTGATTCAGTATGAGAGTACCCAGCCCGGTGGATTTACGTATGAACGACAGAAAAAGACGATGCAGGAGACGCAGCAGCTGTTTGAAGACCAAGGGGTTGATTTTGAGAAATTCTGGGCTGATGTTGGAGGGATGGAGGGAATAGACATGTAAATTTGGAGCTATGAAGGATGTAGGATACCACCTTTTTCTTGACAATTTTTTTAATAGTAAAAGAATTTCATTGGTGACCGTCATAGGGAGCCTGCTTGCGCTCAATTCCGAATAATTTTACCCGACATGAGCGAAGACAGGTATCGTATATTCAATTTCATTTTTTGGTCATTTAACATTACGTCATACAGGGGAAATGATATATTTTTATGGGTATAAATGAACACGACACAAAAATATTAAAGATGCGAGTTAAGCATATAGGTAGCAAAGAATACAAAATGATCAAAATGTTAAAATATTTGGAGCAAAGGAATATCATCCAATGTAAACAGGAGGGATGTGGAGAAACCACAATATAGCAAATTCCTTTCCCCAAGTGGCAAAACGAAACAGAAAATAGCACATGGATAATAATTGCAGTAGAAATAAAGGAGAGTCGAATGCTTGAATATACGATTAAATTGCAGAAAAATTGTGAACAAATAAAATAAACTTGTAACAAAAAAGAAAGGAAAGGAAAGAAAGAAGCACACAGTGAGAATTGAATATTCACCAAAGTAGCACATCTCAAAAAAAAAAAAAAAAAAGAAAGAAAGAAAGAAAAAGAAAAAGAAAAAGAAAAAGAAAAAGAAAAAGAAAAAGGAAAGTCGAAAAATAAGCAAGGAAATCTCAGTATTAGAAGACACTGATGAAGAGAGAATTTTCCCATCCACTTTCTCCGTTTCGCTCTGCGCAAATCAAATCAAATCAAATCATCGCTCATGTGTTTGTCGTTACATCGTTGTTTGGCCTTTTTGAAGAATTAGGCAAAGAAAAGTTTGGTCATATCGTCGTATCATCGTAAGTTAAGAAGGGGGGGAATGCATATTTTTGACATATCATGTTTTAGTTTAAAAGCAGGCAGGTCGTGGGCATCATCAAGTTCGTGAGTTTCGTTAGGCGTTCTTCATTTCCATCCAGCTCGTATAGGTCGTATAGTACCAGATCGATGAGAGAGAGGGATTGTTGCAAGCCAGGATTTGCCGTGAATAAGCCGTACCATCCAAAAAGAATTCCAATTCATTTATAAAGTCGAGAATGACGCCGAAGGAGGGTAATCTCCGACTCAAAGTCTTCCGCATCTAGAGAACCGGAACCGAAAAGAGAGTTAGCAAACCCATAACTCTGCAATAGAAGGATTGGATAAAGGAGGAAAAAGCAGACGAAGAAAATTTATCTCCGAACCCTCCTCATCATCACCCAGGTAGGGCCGGAATTAAACATCCAAGAGATGATGATGCAGCATCGACATGGGCTGAAAAACTAACTTGAAAAAACAAATAAAAATAAAAGCAACACAAAACAAAAAGCCACTCACCGGATTCTTTGGTAAAAGTAAGCACATGCTCATGATGTCGAGTTATTCGAGGAGTATATTGATCCGAATGGATGAATGTCGCACGGTCGAGATCCGAAAGGATAATTGTTTTATAGTCCACGCGCCGCATCCATGATTTCGACCCTATATAATCGTGTATAAAAGCCGTCCATATAGGAACGCTGTTAATTCGGAAATAGAATTATGTCAGCTCCATGATCTCTAGCAATGGAGTTTTTGTAGGGTAATTGGTAGTTTTATATCAAAATTAATAAAGGGGTGACTATATCAATACAGCCGGAGGAATGGAGACTTACTCTGCCATTTCACCAGAGTGAATCGAGGCCTGTAAACGGATAACACCGGAAGCGCGATCCTGGAAAATACGAAGCGCGTGGAGGTAACTATCGTCGAGGATCAAGCTTTGCAAAAAGTGATTTATATTAGTATCAAGAGGCCGACATGGAATATTTAGTCCTAGCTTAATACGCTCCTGTACGTACCCGCCATAGATTTCCTTTTCATCGAGAGAAAATGGGTCTGGAGTACTGCTGATTGGGTGACCGGAATCTTGTCCTCGAAGCGCAATAAATGCGCAATGAAACAATACCATTTCTAGCAGGTTAAGTTAGATGATGATAAACAATTGGGCTGGAAGATGGTTTGGCTTTCTTACTCTCAATAGTGTCAAATTGGAGACTCAGCCAGGCCCTTAATCCTTGTTCTTTCGATGATGATGTACACAATAGGAGATGGGATTGTTCGCGAGAGAGCGTGAGCCTGTTCAATGGCTCCGTCGCATAAACTGTCTTTGACGGTGAACAGGTGACTTGGCATAGGATCCGAGCGCGATGGTCACGTGCACGCAAGTATAGAATGACGATCAAATTTGGTTCGAACTTCCTGAAAGCTACTTAGTACCAAAAATATAAACGGGAAGGGAATAATATATATAAGACATATACTTACAGTCGAAACAGCTCGTGGAAGTCCTTCTCAAGACGAGCTAATGTATCCGGCATACTAAAACCGGCGGCATAACATTTGGATCTATAACGAATTTTTTAGTTATCCTGAATATCACCAAACCCCGGGGACTTTTAGTAGAATGAAAAAGCAAAAGAACCAACTAACCCTTTGTTTGAATGAGGTAATGGCGTCTCGGTTGTGGTTGTAAGGCTACTGAACAAAGCCACAGCCCAGTGATCAACAGGATCAAGAAACGAAAACGAATCAGTGCTGGTAGAATCCGTTGTCGAAGGAGAATCTAGCGATTCAAACGAAGGAACCGGACTTTCAACCTCAAACCAACCAGGGGCATGTGGAGATGCGGTGCGACCACCAGCTGGTCTTCGACGTTCATATGACCGTTTCAGGGTTGGGGTTGCGGAGACCGGTGTTGGTTTGCGCAGTGCACTCTTCAAAGGTGGAGTATTTGAACGGGGACGCGCACCTAAAGTCGGAGGTGGGGGTGCGGGAGGGACTACTGATAGAGGAGGTGCGGTGGGCATGGTGGGTGCAAATGTTGTGGATGGTCCAAGAGGAGTAGTGGGCCGAGGGGGTCCAAAGGTACGACCGTCATTGGTGAAATTTACCTGACGCCTTCGCTCTATATCAGCGGCATATCGCTGATCTTGGGCCATGCGGAGTATAGTTAACGCTTTACGGAGGTTAACGAGGGCCGCTTGATCTCCACGTTCACTGAAATTGCAGTTACAGATCAGTAAATAGATTCTTCAGTTTTGCTTGTGGGTGGGATATAGAAGCAGGTTTTCCAAAACTGATAAATTTACAAAGGGAGGAAAAATTTACTTTCTGACAACCAAAATAAGTTCCGCCAGCATTTGCTTATAGTACTGAAGCCGGACAGAGAGCGGATACCCAGCTTCGTGTTGGAAGTAATTGTGCAAATTCATCCAGGTCTGCCGGACAGTGTGCTGCGAAGCCTGTGCCTGGCCGCCGTTGTCCATTGCAATGAACGCTTCATTGATCACCCGGGTAGTATGGTGAAGGCTCGCCCCGACGACCAACTCTACATCATTGTTAATGTAGATAAAGTTAGATCTGAGCGGGGAATTGTGGAGAGTTTCTAGAGAACGGAGACTGGCATAGATCGTAAAGAACTCTGTGACTACGGAGGTGATATTGGGAGCATCATCCGGTACATAGGCGACAAATTTGCTGAAAGTGCTCGCGACATTCTCAGCGTCCAGAGCTGCTTGAGTAAAACTCATACTGGCGCAGTTGATGACGGGGTCAACGGAAGACGCCCATCACAGGCAAAAGATTTGGGTGGGGGACATTTACATCCGAGTTTGCTGGAAGGGATGAAACTTAAAATGATATGGGATGTTATGTAGTATAGGTAAACAACCTTGAGGAGGCAATCAGGGAGTTAAAGCACAAGGTAGTGATGAGTTCTGGTCAAGGCTCCCAAATGTCCAAAACGCTCGCTTCCTCTTCATAATATACGGCCGAGTGGAGAAAATAAATATTAGACGCGGCTCCTGGGGAATTTCAGCGGGTGAGTTGGCATTTGAAGCCGCAACGATGCACTAAGCCCAGTAAAGCCTAGCACTGCCCCTCACCGCCAGGCGCGGCATTAGTCATCGAGTGGCCCCCTGACCCCTGCTTCAACAGGATAACGTTGTTTGTTTGTTGCCAAGTTGCCAGATGCTTCAGCAAGTTGGTTGCAGCATCTATCTCTCTTTGCATCCAATAACTCACATCCTCTATCCTCCCAAGGTGCCTTCTGAAACGACGAATAGTTGATTGACAAACAAGAAATGGGTAGCCTGTATCCACCACTGCCCAACACAGAGGCACAGCACATCGGAGTACAGCACAGAACCGAGGTTGAAAGAGCCAAGCACCCAGCCAGGAAAGAAATCAATGTGCTAACAAATATACCCTTAACCCTTGATATAGAAACAAACAATTATCTCTCTTATCTTTTGGGCCTTTCACCAGCCTGGAACTGAAGCCCCGTTCTTGATCTAATATACTATGGTGACAATATAGATGCAATAATGCACAAACTGGTGTGGATATTTGCAGTCCATATCCACACTGTACTTGATAACACATAATAAATAAATATATGTGTGTTTATGGATGTAGGCAGCTCTTGCGCAAGCCAGTAAGTATGTAGTAGCGCTACATGCATAAAAGCTCAGAAGATGACTCCATTGATATCAGCGCAAGAATAAACCACAGCCAGTCACGGAGTACTACTATCTTCTCTTAAATAGATTAGTTAAACCAATAACAGGAGAAACTCGTTCAGCTCCATCTGAATTTTCCCTTCTCTAGCCCACTTTGCATTTTACCTATCTTCACCCATTACCCCATTTCTCCTTAAATAACATTGTAGATATTAGAAACAGACAATAAATCAGACAAAATCAAAAAAAAAAAAAAAAAAAAAAAAAAAAAAAAAAAAAAAAAAAAAAACCAGGCAGGTCAAAAAACCAAAACGGACCCAAAAAGAGGGGGGGGGGGGGGGAAGAGGGAGAACGGAAGAAAGTGAATAAGAATAAGAAAAAAATCCCCCTTTTTCAGAAAAACTCATTTACTCTCATAGGTCAAACATATTTTAAACGAAGACAAGAGAAGCGAAAAAAACCGCATTAGTTTCGCGCAGAGCAAAAGAAAAGTAAATACCTGCTTACATACAATAACAATTTAAAAAATCACCGGTTGGAGAAAAAAAGTATATAAGAAAAGAATTACAATTAAGAACCCGATAAAACCCCTTTCATTAGAGTTAACATAAAATAACAGCAGAAACAGCAAGAGCCATCATATGGAATATTTTTAAGTAAAAGAAAAAAGAAATGGGCGAAAAAAAGAGAAAAGAACAAGGGAAAAAGGAAATAAAAGCAAGTAACAAAAAGAAAGGAGCCACAATTGACAACCCGCACCATCATTCCCGTTTCCCAATCCCAGGCAAGAGGCACAAATATAAATAATAAGAAAAGGATGAATGGGGGGAAAGCAAAGAAAGCCACTTGGATCAACCGATATAGAACCGTCACAAAAGAACAGCAGTAGCAGCATCATCATCATCATCATCATCGTCGGCAAACAACAATTCGTTGAATGCAACAATGAGACAATCAAACAAAGAGTACAGAGACAGATCACAGGAGCCAGCAGGGAAGAAAACAAAAAAAAAAAAAAAGCCGGCCACGATCTCCTTTTAAAACGTCGACTTAATTGCTGTTTCATTTTCATGCCCGAGGCCCCCTGCCTGCCTGCCACTCAGGAAGACTCGTCATCCTCATCCTGTGCCTTGTGCGGGAGTCTTGTCAGCACATTCGGAGATTGGCATAAGAGGGTAGGGGAAGCGAGGAGGGAACGGGGTGGTGGTTGTGGCCGCCAGAGCAATGGGGACGTTTATGCGGGGGCGGGGGGATGAATAAAGACATACATTGTAGCTCGCCTTCTCGTCCTCGTAACGCTTCTTGTCGGCAGCAGCTTTAGCCTCGTAGGGCGCACGCTGCTTCTCGTTCAAGGCCTTCCATCTCTCTCCGAGGACTTTACCAACTTGGCCTGCGATAAGGATACGCGTTAGATACAACTTTGGGTCTAGGGGAATGGAAAGGATTGGGGGATCGGGGTTGGATGGAATTGAACGGCGCGAGGAGTTTTTTTTCATCGCGTTGCTTGAAACATACCGAAAGAGATACCGGGGTTTTCCTCTCGGACGTTTTCGCGCTGCTCGTTGGCGAAGAACATGTAGGCGGAGAGACCACGCTTGGGAGCATTGGGGTCTGTAAATGCGGGTGAGTTAGAAATTGAAATAGTCGCAAAAAGAGTGGGGGGAATGTGCCGCCTCCGCAGATTGGATGGATTTACGTACCTTTCTTCTTCTTTTCGATACTGCGAGCCTTAGTTTTGCGGGAAGCTTTTTCCTTCGGCATGTTGATGCAGTTTTCAATGTGGTGAGTGTGGTGGTTGCTGTGTAGATGCGATGCGGTGTCAGTCAACTTCTTCCGATTGAGCTTATGCAACTACGAGAAAGATTCAATCATGTCGCAGCCAAAAGAATTGAAGAAAACGGTGAATGACGCGTAACCCGGGTGGAATTTTCAGCCAGACAGTTCTATGGGGGTCATGGCCTAGGTCATGAGAGGGGTTTGTTTGTTTGGGGTGGGCTGCGATGCGCGTATGTCGTGTCGTGACAAAGCACCAGCTGCGACGACGGCCAGCGATGAGCTCCAAAGATGAAGCGCCTTTTTGGGGCCATTTAGAGACGCGACAGCGCTCAATGGGCGCAGGTTTTTACATCTTGGAGCTCCTTGCTGGGCGTGGAAGCAGGGCTAGCTCACGGGCAACATTGTAAAGGGAATGAACAAGCAATGGTTGGAATGAAAACAGGACAGCGACAATGGTTCATGAAAAACAAACAAGCGCGTTTAAACAACGATGAGAGGCATTGTATGGAGAGAATAGAATGTTGTGGATACAAATAATTTGTCGAGTGTTGAGGAATAAGTAAAAGGCGTGCTAGGAAAACCAAAATTTATGAAGAGGGGAGCTCGACTTACTCAGTGTGTTGTACTTTATTTTTGTATGGGGGGCTTTTTTGGGTTGCGTGGAGGGGAAATGGCAGCGAAAAGTTGTATGGGAGAAATTTGGTGAGGGAGAAAAGAGAGGGAGAGCAGAGCAGCGAGGAAAAGGGAGGCAGCGCAGGAGTGCCGCCTTTTGGCCTGGCTCTGCTGAGGCAAAATCACCGGGCGAGACCAAAGCAATTGCAGGGTCCGCATATTCTGGCCTGAGGACTGCCCGTCGTACTGTCATTTACCCCAGTTTACCCAATTTTACCCAATTTTACCGCGCAATTACAGCACAACAGTGCCATACCAACCAGGCAAGGCAGCCGCTTGTCACAAAAATGGGCCGCGATGAAACAATGGGACGTGACGATAAGACTCGATGGGGCGTGGTTTTTCGGAATCCACTTGCGGTTCTGCTTGGTTGGCTTATCCCGCCCCAGTTGAGTGCGTGTTGATTAAAATTACCCCCGTCCCCATAGCCCTGATGAATTTCCCTCTTGATCGAAGCATCTTTCCCTTCGCAACAAAAACAACAAAACAACAAAACAATTGTACGTTGCGTAATCACACTGATCCTTCCTCCTGTAAGTTTAGCTAACAATAACTCATCTTGAGTTGATCCCCCATTATTGATTCCAACTTTCCACATCCCTTTGCTTTCCCGTTGACTTTTCCCATCTCCCTTTCTAATTGGTTGTACCCTTGGAATAAATATTGGGGTGATTATTTATTATACATAGTACAGTAATTCCGCATGCTGCTCTTTTCGTCCACTCCAAATATCCGCTAATCATTCAATATGCTGCTGCGTAGCGGCAAAATTTTCGTCCGGTTGACATAAACGGGCCCAGCCGGGGCTCGTCAGCAGCAACAGCGGGGGAAAATACATGAACATTTAGTGCATACCTATGATGGGCGCTTTGTGCGGAATATACAGATCGTGCGTTTTTCCTTGCGTATATTCCGTATATCATGGCGATGCAAAAATCAGCTAGCTGCCCAGCCAGCCAGCCCAAACAAAAAGAGGAACTTTTGTCTTTAAAGGAACGCCCAAAAAACCGACAAGCATCCACCGCAGCAGGGTCGGTTACTGGTTGCTTCTCCCATGATCCTGCCCGTTCTGTACGATTCAAGGATTGCACAGTATCAAAACTTTAGTGTATGACCGACCACCCATACAGAACCAAGAGAACATGATACTGGTAACAGCTCTCCCCTTCCTCTACAAAGACAGGTACCCTCCACCAGTGTGCTGGGCGACATAATCCCAATAAAGCGAGCCGGGACTGCTGGAAAGTAATGGTTCCATGCCTCGTTGTCCAGGCATTTGGCAGTTTCCACCCACAATGCTGATATGAGGCTTATATCGATGCTAGAGGTTGGTATTCCAGCCGACAGAGTGCACAAGGAAAGCAGCGCGCAGTTGGGTGGAGTGGACGGTTACAATACCGTTACATGTATTACGGTGGGTTGATACAGACAATGTGATGAGGGAGAGTTGGAGGGGGGAACACGTATGGTAACCCCAATACGGTTTCTAGTTTGGAAAAAGTTTGTTTGTTTGATATTTTTTTTCACAGCCAAAAGCAGTCACAGAAGCGACGCAGGAGAAAAGCCCATAGCGTGATCGTTGCAACACACCCTGGGTACCTTCGCTTTCATCATGATACGATCATAACAGTGAATGATACCTGGGCTTCCTGTTTTGCTCCCATACATATCACACACTTACGTTGGTCGTCCTCCACCGCCCACCTCTTGAATCGCCCAGCGTACGCTTTCCTCACTTAGTTTACCCCTCCGGTGCATTTTCACACTGGCGACCCGTCTCCCATGCAGTATGGGAAAAATGGTCCGATACTACCCAAACGCTTAATACGCAGTGATAATCTTTGGAATGTGGTATCCATGGATCTACTCAACTAGTATGTAGGCATCTTGTACCTGAAATACTGAGCCTGTTACCGAACAAGTAAAAGTACCAGATATTTCAACATCGTCAACATCCATATCTATGGACCGCGTTGTTGATATCAAACCATCCAATGTTAAAAGTCCAAAGTAATAATAATAATAATAATAATAATAATAACAATAACTCATCACAACTTCCTTGTGTCTATTTTATTTTATTGTTTTTTGCACAATATTATTCTTTGCGAAAAGGGACGACAAACCGGACAAGTCCATGTACCCTTACTATGGACCATTTAATCTGCACGACTTCACCAGCTAGAAACAATAGTCCGGTTTCACAAAGGTCAGAGTCGCAATAATAACGAGCAAAACTGTTAGGAGACCCGAAGGAGGAAGACGGATCCCCCTTCAAGGCTTCCAACTCCATTTCCTCTCTGCCTTAATGATGATTTGATGTAGCAAACAACAACTTTCCATTTAAAAAAAAAAAAAAAACAAGGCTCACTCACTAATTAGGGATATCTCAAATAGATAAGAGGACAGAAATAAACAAATGGATATATTACAGCTAATTTTTGTTTTACTGTGGACCCTTTCCGTCTTTGGGTGTTGAGAGTGTATTATTATGGAAACTATGTGGATATACCGGACGTGGGGAAGAGCTGGGCAGAACCACAACCCGCATATATGCTTTCGTTATCGTCCAATATGAGGTTCTATACAGCTTAAAAGAGATATGCTCTCATTCAGGCCTCAACCATCCATGGATCCATCCATGGATGGATGCCATTATATGCATCACGTGATGAATTTCCGGATAGCAGATACCGAGGGAGGATAGTTAGATATGCTCCATGTGCCGAAAGCGCTCCTCCACGTTGGAGATGGAGACAATGCCCGAGATCCGTTTGCTTCTTCGTTAGAACTTTTGAGAATTCCGTAGGGGGTATGTAGGATCACGGCGTGGGAAGAAATAGGCGGATCAAAAAAACCAGAAACGCTTGATCCTTCAGGTGCCGTCCGAGACATCATCATCTTCGTCATCAACCACCAAGTCATGAAGTCCTTCATCTGCTGCCCAATCAATGCCACTCGCGACGATGAGGGCGCTGACGACGCGTTTCATGGTCACCCAGCTCGCTCTCTCAGCCTTTGTCTCTTTCTCCTGCGCTTCCAGTTGAGATATAAGCGCCGGGTCTGTTATCGCTTCTCTCCGGGACTTTTCTACACTCGTGAGCCCGAGAAGGGTCTGCACCGACTCCTGGGTCTTTGCGGTGCCCTGCATACTGTCCACTTTTGTGTTGGAGAGAGATTGTGTGCATGACGCGTGGGCACGGGATAGGTTCACGTAGATGAGTGATAGGAGATCACGGCGGTTGATAAGCGGTAGAAGGGCTCTGTACATATATATACATATATATATGGAGAGGGAGAGCCGATGAGTAAATCATACAGAGTCACAAATACAAAGAAACAATCACGAAAACGCGCGCTGGGGAGACATGGAGATATATATTGACGCATACCTCTCCGCGGGAGAATCGGTTATGGAGTGGACTGATTGGATGCTCGGGTCCGTCATGAGGATTGTTTCAATCGCTTTTCTCCTGACGGAGTATGTAGATCGGGCCTCCAACAACTCGCGTTCTGCTGCCTCAAGCTGGGCTTCAAGATCATCATCGTCATCGTCAGGTCGGGGCTCAGAATAGTCTGTAACAAATAAGTTCTCCGTAGGGACGAAAAAGGGAAGAATAGAAGCAGGGAAGAAAGTGTTATATAGGAATAAAAAATACCTTGTGATAGCAGGGCTGTCTCAAGTTCTTGTTCCTGGATGCGGTCATATAGTTCTAGCACCTGCAACTCTTTGCGGGACAGCGACAAGACTTCACGCGTGTTCGAAGTCTGGGCAAGTTCCAGCAGCGCTGCTTCATATGGGTCCAGCTGGGAGTGTGACCCGGCCGCCAGCCCGTTACCCGGTGCCATTGTGGCAGCGCAGAGCAGTCAGTTGTGCAAGTGACGCATCTTATGATGGGTGGAAGAATGCGCGAGATGGCCGTAGTACATATATTTTGCCGGAACCACGGGCTGATTCCCACCCAAGCCCAGTCAGGCGGGCGGTTGCCGGGCAGGTTGTCATGCAGAGCTTAAAGCGGCTAGGCATGCCCCAGGAATCCCGTGGAGCTTAGACAATGTTGAACTTAGCAATTTGCGATTCCTTATATCTCAGCGCTCCCTCCGTGGATGATTGATCCTTTTCTTCCGCCTGCCGACCGCTATCCCTCTGAGGGTTTGTTTCAGTGGCTTTGGAAGGGGGGATGTCATTGCACATCTACATTGCTCACACGGGCGAGCAGCTGTTGGCTGACCCGGTTTCGTTTGCGTCGTGCGTTCTATCCCTTCGTTAACAATCACGTATAAACTATATTCAATCCTTGAAAAAGATGTCCAGACACTAATATCATTTTTTAATAGACCTGATGCGTTGCGAACATGGATCTCCCGGAAGATCTCCATGCCTGCCCAGCGACAGATTTTGATGACTGCTAGTGGGAGGAATGTTAGGCCTCAGACGCTTGCAACGGAGGTAAATATAACTGCGATCCTCTATTCATAATGTGACGGATATTTTGCCAACTAACTCCAATAGAATGAGATATTTGTTTACGATCGGCTATATATAAGCGACGGCACTGTTAGAGATCTCCCGGTGATCACGCCGCCCGAACGTTTCACTCCCGAAACCCCTGCCGATACCCTCGCAGATCAGAATAACCTGCAAGCATGGCGGAATCTCTACATGGCACGGAGGGCATGGGCCTTGAATCTGGCGGCACAATGCGCTCCGATCAGCAGAGCCATCGACGACCAGATCGAGCACACCCACAATATCAACCGCGCAGTCGATGTCGCCTTGGAGAATCTGAAATCGCATGTTGGAAACCTAGAGCATAAGTTCCAGGAGGCCCAGTCTTGGGCGAATGATTTATTGAAGGAACAACAACTGGCGTTGGATGGGTGGCGGAGCGCATTGACAAATATCGAAACTATCCCAGCGAAGAAAGATTTCACGTTCCTACGACGACCATCAACGCCGAAGAGGGCGACAGAGCCTCAAACTGGCACTCTAAAAGATTATATTGATGTGGATCGGATAAAGAGTGCTGCATCGCAGGTATCCTCCGTTTCTCAGCGTTTTGCTCGTCGTATGGATGAGGTTGAGAAAGCGGTTCACGAGGTGGTTTCAGACACGGAGTCGCTGGTTGAGGCGTCACATCCATCTCCCCAAGAAAATGCAAGTGGGTATATGGAGGAGATTGAAACAATTGCCAAGAAAATTGGATCCGATTATGAACATGTATTGGCCCTTCCTAACTCCCAGAAGACGTTGGCGAGTGTTTCACGGATGGCATTGAATCACACAAAGGATCTCCTACCCTCCATGTTGGAAATGTGTCTCGAAATACAGACCACCTTGGAACTGTCCATAAAACAACGGAACTTGGCCACGAAGGCCGCAGTCAAGCGCATGCAGAAAATCTCCAACATAGAGTCTCGATTAGCTGGTGTCCAAACAGAACTAACAAATCTAGATGTTGAAGGAGACGCCTTCGAAACGTTATATGAAGCTTCCCAGTTGCCTATGATTTACGGGTCGATTCTCATCGAGGCTGTCCGCCGCCGTGAATGGAATGACAAAATGAAAACCGATTCTCTAAGTATCGCTGAAGAATTAGCGGTCTTCCGGAATGAAGAGCAACGCCGACGGAAAAAATGGATAAAAAACATGGGTAACTTTCTCTCATTTTCCGAAGACACAATCCCCAGTATAGAGATAAATTTGCAGAGTGGCCAACTACCTGGATGGCCAGAAGTTTCTCGCAAGGACGTTGACGCCTATATCGAAGAGTTGAAAACGAAGCCTGATACCAACTCTGCCGTTCGAGACCTAACACAGCTCTTGAAAGATTTGGATGCACCTACTCGACAACAGAGACGAAAAGCAAAGGCATTTAAACATGGAAGTGTGTTTGATATCGGCCAAAGCTCATTTCTTAACCGCGGGGATGACATGGTTCGGAACCTGAAGGATGAAAAGATGAAGCTCGAAGACAGGTTAAAAGCTTCGGAGAGCCGTATACGGAAACTAGAAGACCTTCTCCATCGCCAGAGTCAGATGAGTCGCCCTGTTAGCGCAAATTTTGGCTTTGACATACCTATTTCTCCAGCTTCACCTCGCCCGGATGGACTCTCAAGGAGGTCATCTGTATCCTCCCGGCGTATGTCGTCAAACCAGACTCCAGAAGACAAGGCTTTAGTGCAGCGAATTGTCGGTCTGGAGGCTGAACTTCTTGCAGAGAAAGAAAACGTATCAAGACTTCAGAAGGAAGCACACTTGGAGCGCCTGTCAAACAACGATAAAATACAAGAGGCCCAGTCTACTAAGAAAGATTTAATGGACAATTTGGAGGCACAACAGCGGGAATTTGAAGGTGAGAGGAGGTTTCTGGAATCGGAGGTGAAGTCGATTAAAATCAAGCTTGAAGAAGCTGAAGAGGAACTGGATAAGGTTATGGATGCCCGGGAGCACGACAAGCTTGTTGCAGATGAACGAGCTGCCGCGCTACAAACGGAACTCGAAACCCTGCGAAATGCTACTACTGAGGAGATAGCCGATTTCACGTCTGAAGTCCAGGCTCTCCGGGAGAATAGCGACAAGGCCAAAGCCCACAACACCACGCTACAAGAGAGACTTGAAGAAATGGCGCGAAACCAACGAGACTACGTAATCGGCTTACAAACTGCGCATGCGCATCTATCTCCAGGCGGTTCTGCCCCTGAAGATCTAACTTCTCTTATTAGAGCCATTGAAGTTCTGTCGGAAGGGTTGGCTATTCATTCCAAGGGCGTCGAGGAAGCATCTGCCAAGTCCAATGAGGAAAACAAGTGTTTGTTAGAGAGAATAGAACAAATGGAAGCTGAATCCAAGGAGTTGAGAGCAAGGCTCGCAGCTGAAGAATCAGAACGATCCAAGTTGCAAGCAACACTAAATGAGGAAGCGCTAAGACTTTCAGCAGTCAGAACTGAATTAGAAGATGAACGCGAACAACTCAACATACTGAGATCTAAATTCTCCGCGGGAGAAACTGGTTCAGAGGCGCTGAAAGAGCGAGTTGCGGAGGAGGAGCGCAAAGTTGCCGCTTTAAGGGAAAAGCTCGTCGTTGCAGAATCTCACGCGCAAGGTTTCGAAGATGAGATTCGTACATGGCAAATGAAGGTGAAAACCCTGGAGGAAAATGGGGAGCGTAACACTAAGGCAATCTGGGCGAAAGAACTCTCTGAAAAACTCTTCTCTCATGTGGGACAGTTCAGCCGGGTACTGCAGCAACTCGGCTTCACAATTATTCGACAAGATAATAAGATGGTCATCTATCGAGCCTCTAAGGTCAACAACAGCAGTTCATTGCTTGGAGAGAGTGTCAGCTCTCCATCGGCTACTCCAATGACTCACGATCCGAAATTAGTAGAGTGGGTTAATACGAACAATCGGGAGGAGGAGCAGTCAAATTACACAGCGTTCATCACCGCAATTAATGAGTTCGACGTGGAGCTCTTTGGCGAAGCAGTCGTTAAGCGAGTCAAGGATATCGAAACGTTAGCACGTAAGTGGCAAAAGGAAGCTCGGGGGTATCGGGAAAAGTCACACCGTTTCCAAAGCGAATCTCACGAAAAGATTGCATATCGATCGTTCAAGGAAGGGGATTTAGCGCTGTTCTTACCAACGCGCAACCAGGCCATACGATCTTGGGCCGCATTCAACGTTGGTGCTCCCCACTATTTCCTTCGAGAACAAGAAGTGCACAAATTACACACTCGTGACTGGCTACTTGCGCGGATATCAAAGATCGAAGAGAAAGTGGTGGATCTCTCTAAATCTATGAACGGCGCAAACCCGGATCGTCGGTCCATCGGGGAAGCAAGCGATGGTGCATCGATAGATGACGATAACCCTTTCGAACTCTCGGACGGTCTGCGATGGTATCTGCTCGATGCATCGGAAGAGAAGCCTGGTGCTCCCAGTACACCTGGGCTAGCTAAGAGCACTGTTGCGTCAGCCCATGTGGATGCGACAGGCAGCATCCGTTTAAAAAGGTCAACTAACGGTGGAGGAGCAACGAAAACTTTGACGAAAAGTCTCGATAGTCGACGGAACAGCTCAACATCGAAAATAGGCACTCCGGTGCCTACGCTGCAATCAGCCGAGTCTGCGGGGGATAATGTTTTGCCAGCAGCGGGAGATGCAGGTGGCCAGCAAAGGAGAGCGGAGGCACCTATTTTCGACGAGGTTCGCAGAGATCTCTTATCGGGTCCCTCAAAGGGAGAATGAAAAGAATTCAAGATTTATGAGCGTTATATGCAAATTTATTATTGAATCATGAAAAAAAACATGTTTGTTTGTCGGCTGATGATTTTTTGTTTTTTTTTCTTCTTTTTCGCCCGCAAAATAGGGTACTGGTTCTCAACCTCGAACTCCCAATCCACACCATAATGGTCGTGGCCCCGCCGTCCCCACATCTCCTTCGCCATCGAGCAAGCACGCATCGAGACCACGCCCGTGGGAAAAGTTGTGGTCCTTGGATTACCGCTCTGGGAGTTCAAGCAACCACAATTGAACAACCACAATGTTATTGGCGCATAGGAGACCGAAGCATAACAACTGCTTTCAACCTGTCTGGCAAAGAGTGATTGAAAGGCAAGAGAGGACCCTGAGATTTATTTCAAAAACCTCATGCCAGTTCATTCCTTTATTGGTTTGTTATTTCTAACCTGCCAAAATGAACAAAGCTGACCCACTGCCACCCCAGAACTACTTAACATTTTGCAGAAGAGGGCTCAAGTGAATAACTATCCACCTTTCACATTTCCTCTGGGCAGGGAATAACAACAGGTGGGAATATATAGATATATACAAAACATGAGATAGAATTCTGACATGATCACCATCAACTTTGTTGTCTGCATTCAACCCAACTGTATTTTTAATTCTCCTTTTGTCGTTACTTATTTTATTTACTATGCATTCTAGTTTTCACCTTGCCAGTCTGCAGGTAGGCAAAGGTCAGCCTTTTTTTTTTTTTTTTTTATATTTTTATTTATTTTTATTTTTATATTTTTTGGACTAAGCATGATTCCCCTAGGGTGTTTCGCTGTTTATGTATTTAGTTTCCCTGCTCATGCATGATATCACTCTTCTTTTCATTGTCCCTTTGCTTTTACCTCCACATTTACTAGTGGATAGAACACTCAATGTTGTTGGATGTTTTACAGGATAACAACCACATCAATAGAACTATGTTCAAAATTAAGTCTAATCCAATTAAGCCATGTAATAATTCCCATGAAAAAAAGGTATACAAACGCCGGCAACCAACCCTTATTGTTGGGTATATTGCTGGGTATAAAGATGAGGTGTATATGATCTGGAAGAACAGAATAAGATAAATAGATGAATCTCCATGCAATGCATTTAACCTTCCTCCTTTCCAGGATCACAACCCATACCTCCTAAATCGCCCAGCCCGTTCAAAAACTCGTCTGCCCTCCTCTTTACTCTGAGTTCTTCGATCTTCCTTCGTCTCTCCTCCTTCGCTTTTTCCCTAGCACTCTTCTTCTTTGCAGTCGCATCTCTCTCACCGAGAGTTTCATTCCTGGCCTTCAACAATTCATCCATCTCCTCTTTGCGGGCCGCCTCATCTTTTGAAAACGCGTAGAACCCTGTGCCCCTAGTGCGGACTTCCGCTTCGGCATCATAATGAGCTTCTGGCGGAGGGGTAGGGGAGCGATCCCGCGCCTTTGCAATATGTTCCATGCGCGCGGAAATATTTGCATCTGGGTTGAAAGCCGCGGATTGGACTGTGGAGCCATAAATGAGGTTTGAAGGACGCTTCGGTTTTGCTGAGGGGAGGATGTTGTAGTTGGTGAGTTTTTTACTGTCGTTGTCTGGGTCATTTCCGTCCTCAAAAGCTGCAGTCCGTGGTGGTGGCGCGCTGCGTCGCTGAAGCGCTGCCTCCGCCGCTTCTGCACGGGTACCCCGACGCGAGCGACCAAATTCATCAATGTAGTCGACGAGTAAAACACCTTCCTTCTCACGGTCGTCATCATCGGCATCCCTACCTGAACCGCACGGGGAAGCTGGGCTTTGTGCCCTCCGCATCCTTCTGGCCTCTTCCTCCGCCCACTTGCGATCAAAATCGACTAGGCTGTTACTCTCAGCCCGCCTCGCTGCATATGCTGCAGTGTTTCTCAAGACGCTTTGATCTTCCTCCTCATCGCTGCTATCCACCAGATGCTCGCCTTTCTTCAAATCCTCGTATAGTTTTGCCTTTTCGGCCAGTCTTCGTTTGGAACGGTGGAGCGTCTCCTCATCAACATAACCAATGTCTGCTCCGCGTTTGTGGACTTGATGAATGACATGTGGCGAGTCCCCTGATATATCTGCCGCGGCGCGTTTGTGCGCATTCTTGTTGTGGACGGTGAAGATATCCGGTTTTGATCGGGACGGTCGGGGCCGACCTTTGGTCAGTGGCTTCGTAGAGGGAGATGCGGACGGATATGATTCTTTAGATATGAGGGCGGAGAGATGAGTGGTGAAGGCTAGAGTGGAGGAGGACGTGAGGTCTTTTTGCGAGGCGGTGGATTTGGGGCGGCGGATGCCATATAACGATTGGGAATCCGTCGGCATGATTTGGATAAAGGGGGGTTGAAGCTAAGTTGAAGGCGTTATGGGAAAGAGAAAGCATGTATCTAAGATTATCATAGGTCGCACCCATAAGCCATGGTTAGGCTGTAGGATGAGCTGAGCGATGGATGTATATGTATCTCTATGACGCTCCCGTAATTGACGATTGAGCACTTGGTCGCTGACGTGATTGGATCGCCGCTTTTGCTCCCTACATTTCTTGCCCCGCCACAACTTCAACATCAATATTTTAACGATTCACGATCCGGGTAGCTGAGCAGATGCTGTTTTAGAATCCACATTTGTGTCTTGGAATGTTTCAATTGCTGCTAGTTCCTGATATATGAACTGTCTTCCTCCAATTGAATCCCCATAATGAGCCACAGAGCTGTCTACCTCGGAGTCATTGGTGAGCTCATATCCCTAAAAGCGAGGAATAGAACATAAAGAAAATCCTAATCTATCAAATATAGGCGTTGGCGGCGTTGGAGCACATTTCCTCACCCAATTATCACGACTCCCCAATGCACCACCGCTCGTCCTACTTGCCCGGTCATCAGCGACAGTCACATCTCCCGCCTCAAGTTATTCCCCCACGATTGACCCTGACAACTGGCAGTCCGCTTTCTCATCTGCCTCTCCCTTCACCAAATCCGAAAGCTGGAGCCCAGAGCAGATAGCTTCCTACCTGTCCCAGGCGCCAGGTCGCGTTGTGCTGGTAGACAATACCTCAGACCCCACAATCGCGGACGCCTACCCCTTCTTCCTCAGCAAGGGTATTAGCATCGTGACCCCGAACAAGAAAGCATTCTCCTCCTCCTTCGATACATGGAAGAACATCTTCGATGCGGCCGCCAGCAGCTCCTCTCTCGTATACCATGAAAGCACTGTCGGCGCCGGCTTGCCCGTGATCTCCACCCTCCGCGATCTTGTAGCAACCGGCGACCGCGTCACTCGAATTGAAGGTGTGTTCTCGGGAACCCTCTCCTTCCTATTCAATACTTTCGCCCCTGCTATAGCTCCCTCTGCTGCCCCTGCGCAGAAATGGAGCCAGGTCGTCTCCCAAGCCAAGAGTCTCGGGTATACGGAACCGGATCCTCGCGATGATCTGAATGGAATGGACGTTGCCAGGAAACTAACCATCCTCGCCCGGATTGCCGGGTTGAAGGTTCAAAGCGCTGAATCTTTCCCGATCGAGAGCTTGATCCCGGCGGAACTTGAAGCGGTCGCTAGTGCTGATGAGTTTATGCAACGTCTTCCTGACTTCGATGATCGGATGGATGCGGTCAAGAGGCAAGCAGAGACTGAAGGGAAAGTTGTGAGATACGTTGGCGATGTGGATGTCCTGGGTGAGGCTGTTAAGGTTGGTCTGAAGAAGTTTGACAAGGATAGTGCCATTGCGGGCCTAAAGGGAAGCGACAATATTATAAGTTTTTATACTGAAAGATACGGGAATAACCCTTTGATTATTCAGGGTGCTGGAGCTGGAGGTGCTGTTACTGCTATGGGAGTTTTGGCGGATCTTATCAAGGTCCTGGAGCGGCTACACTAGAGGTGATTAGGGTGGGTGCTGATAACAGGCATTTTGGTCGCGTCTGGGGAATATAAGAATGACAAATTGAAACGAAGTCAATGTATATTTAATAAAATATAAAGGAAGGAGAAAATTTAGACAGTATGATACATTAGAAGATTAGAGACTTAGCTTGCCACTTGTAACAAAGCGGTATCTATTCAAAAAATGCCATATACATCCAACGATATGTTATGAAATTGTCATCAAAAAAAATTCCCTTCCATATACACAATATTCTAGAGAAAGAAAATAGCAGTCAAATGACTTCTTCAACTCCTCAGAAACTCCTTGATGGCTTCTCCCCATGCTGGTACTCGTTTATAGACCGCCATTTCTGGGATGCTGCCACTTTCAACACCATCGATTGCCGTTGCTAGGTCTTCGGCTGACCCTTCATCTTTAATTTCTTGGATGGGGTACCGATATGTATGGAATGAAAACACCATTGCCCCAGACTGAGGCAGACGATAGAGAGTCTGACGCTCACAACGAAGGAAGGTCTTCCATGATGGTTTCTCAGTTAGCTTATATTCGTTGAAACAATAATATTTTCCTACACGCACAGAAATCCACATGTCGTCTGCATAGGGGGGAAAAAAAGAAAAAGAGAAAGAAAGAAAATAGGCTCACATTATCAAGATCCACATCCTTAAGCTTGAGTTGAGTAATTTCCTCTTCTTTGTGTGCATGGATCCCCCCAAAGGGCGAAAACAGTTCTGCATCAACCGTAACACTCCAATTGACACGCTTGACATACTTGCCAGCTGGTAATTTATGGAAAAAGCGATCCATGCTCTTCTCGAGCTTTTGTTTATATCCAGGTACCAGCTCATGAATTTCAGCTAATGGTTTGCCAAGCTTTTCCCGTGTATCGAACCCTGAGGGGAAACATGCCGCATATGCCTCAAGGACGTACATGACATCATCCGATGAATCACTACGTAAGTCGTCACTGTCCTTTTCGTTATTCGCATGGTGATCTCGCTTCTGTCCTCTTTTTCCTTGGCCATCACCACCATTCCGTTCCGGGAGCAGGATCAACATGTCTTCATCCACGGATTTGATTAACGTTTCCAGAATGCTTCTTGTCGAACGGGTTGTGCTGATTTGTATTGGGAAAAGTTCCATCGTAGTCAGATTGCGGACCATGAGAGCAGGCCCAGTTTCAAAGTCTGTCTGGACAAGTTTGAACATCTGGGGGTATCTATTGGGGAGGTATATACCCATGATGTACCTGTAGAGCTCCTTAACAGCGGTACGGATTCGAGGATCTTCCTCATCATCCTTGTTCACGCGACAGACGACATCGGGGTACTTTTTGAGTAATTCGCGGCGTAGGTTGGTTCTCTCTTTGTATGTTTTGTCCATCAGGATGAGTTCATTGGGGTCGAGGTTTTCGAGAGCTGTTGAAGAAGTAAGTTGAATATACATTTACGCTTTTCCTTCTTGTTTACTTTGCTTTATCAGCCCAGGGCGGGCAGTGGTGGATAGGAACTGCATACCCATAGTGAGATGGTATTTGGGCTTGTATGGCCGCAATTTGAGCGGCTCCGTTTTTTCCCAATCGAACTTCCGTAATGGCTCAACGGGAGGAAAGTCTGAAGTACATAACATAGCGTCGAATTTTTTCTGACGCTCTATTTCTGCTCTCTGTTATTTTATTTTCAGGTGTCAGCTGTACTCGATACTGTGAGTCGTATATTTAATTCCCAACAACCAAAGCGGAAGAAAATTCGCCAGAAATAAGCGAGCAAATAAGTTCATTAAGGTGAGAATCGAAATAAGTAGTGATTAAAACAAAGCTTGATCTCAGAAAGCAGTAAAAAGAATTCAACGATCCTGCATAGGGCTATGCTGCAGCTGGATATATTGGCGATGACTGTCATCTCACAGCGCCAATGGCTCTTGCACGCATTTTGAATGCATGTCAAATAGAGGTAGAATGCATATAACAGGGATGATAGAATATACAATAGCAATATCGAAATGGGCAGGCTTACATGCCTTATTAGATTTGTGTCTCTGCAAAACCATCACAAGCAGTGTCACCAGTACGACCTTTGTGATGGTGTTCATGAGCGAGAAATATTGAACGAGAAGGTCCATCGCCTTGGTCATCTGAGCCCGGAAGGGGACAGCTTCGATCATCTGTGATGCCCGGTCCATGATGCTTGATGGCTTTCTTCCTTCTCATCAAGTGCGTTGTCGGATGGGAGGTCAATTTGCGATAGTTACAGCATCGGAGCGGATACTGAGCCAATTCCGCCGCGGACTTTGACTATATCACCATCTAGCGAAATAAAAGTTAATAAATGAAAGTGTCAAACTCGCTCGGAGGAATTTCTCGTAGCTGTGATATGAAGGGTAAATGCGACTGAGATATTTGTCGCCCCAAGGACCGCAGCGAACGCCAAAGATCGACCAAATGCGGAGTTTTGTTGGTTGCGGAGAGAATGAGGCTTAGTTATTCGTCCGTCACCGGCGCCAGCATGGTTTAGCTGGGCCTTGTGCACACCTATCTGTGGAGCAGTCTGCGCCAACTCTTTATTTAGGTTAAGCCATCTTTTTGCGCTCTGCTATCGAAGCCTTCAACATGAAGGTGCAGTTGAATATGTATCTAGCTATAGGTTATGAAACTGGGAGCTTTCAGGACCACATAGTAACTTCAACAAAACAAGAAAAGAATGTAGGCAATGTAAGGGACAAAACTAGACACATTGATCTCGTAGAAGTCCCAATAGCGAAACAACCGGGTTCACAACTGCCATGTGCGCGTCGAATCTGAACGGCTTCAATTCGATGGGGTGATCCTCGGATGCCTAATTCTGATAACGTCGAAGGTATTCAAGCAGTTCCAAAATAGGAGCAAGCAAAGTACAGCCTCATTCCCTTATAATATGCTGCTTGACCTGGAGTAGGCTGTGGGACAGTAACGATGTCATTCTGGAGGCCCACCCCGCCTAATTTCCAAAATCTAACTCCGTGTGTATCTTTCGACGATCTTTTTTGGAAAGATAGGACCCAGGTTCGGTCATCATGATGGCAGCCTTTCCCATAGCCCTATTAGGCGCATATCAGCCTACATTATTCTCTCAAGTCCCGATCAAAAAGGGGATTCTCTTCATCCATCAGGGAAGGCTGCCGATGTTGGAATCCCCTGCATCACTGGCTGAATAGACGGCATAGGCGAGGCAAGCGGGATAACTACCCTGCCGTTAAAAAGTTTTGACAACTGTTTCCCACTCTAGATCTTAGGGAAGTTTACAATAGTTATTGAATAGTTAAGCGACAAGGCTATATTTCCATATCTACATCATCATCATGTACACGCACTTGGGAAATCAAATCATATTGAACTAGTTATTCACTTTCACAGAAAACAAAAAGGCGATAAAGTTTTTTTAAAGCTTTGAATTATTCTAAGGCTCCCACTGTGTTAATTGACTATGTATGACTGTGAGGGTTTCTACGGAATTCTTAATTATATATACATCATCGATTTAACAATCAATATGTATATGTTGACGTATCTTGTCCAGACCGAATGCTGGATTGCCTGTGCTGTGTATATAATAGAAAGGAGTATGTTATCAAACGAAAACTGGTCATCCTTGTATAAATGGGTCAATTTGCCAAGAAAACCTACCTTTTACTGCTCTTATATATATATATATATATATATATATATTCAGCAGATTGCGTGCACTTGTAGACCAATTTTGACTCCTCTGTATTTACGAGGACATCCACATCAAGGGCTTAACTACTATGGATAACCCTGCCCAATTATAAGCTTTCGACTCAACGAATCCGAACAAAGAAAGTCTCTTTTGAGGCATTTTTAACTGATCCTCGATCATCTTCTTCGATGCTTTGCAAGTGACCATCCGCCAAAACCAAGAGAACCTAGAATTTTTTCTGAATCATCACGCGCAGAGAGAAAATGAATAAGCGAGCAATATCAGCCAAAAAAGAAAGAAAGAAAGAAAGAAAGAAAGAAGCAGAGTGTTGTGGCCACTGTATCATCCTCCCGAAATCGCCTGCGCATACATAAATCATATAGATACACAACATGAATATAAAATAAAATCTAGAAAGAGTCACTCTCGCTTCTCCATGTTCCAAATATCCAGAACATCAAACCCAGGTCTCATCAATCTACCTTCATCAATCCTGACAGTCCCCAAATTTTCAAGTTCAAGGAGGATGTGTAATTTTGCCTGACGGAGGGGCGAATCCGCGCCTAAAGAGTTCACTAGAGTACTTCGAAGCCGTGATGGTAAGGAGAGAGAGTAGCGGAGTCAGAGTACAATTCATATTCCTGGAGGACACGGTCGAGTTGGGAATCTGTTTTCGACATTTGTTATGTGTTTTTCTGGCCAGATTCCATAGAAGAAAGAGATATGAACTGAATAAAGTAGGCACCATGGGAGGGTGGGGGCTCGCAGGTGGCTGCTCATGTTTGATCCATTGGAGAGAAGGTGAATATGGTTGCTGCTGGTGATGGCGAAGGGGTATCCTATGCGATCACCCCCGATGCTATAGGGTGAAATGGATAATTTTTTTTTCACCTTCGGATGTACAGTACAGACAAGCTTCTCTTTAGAGCGTCAGATATCCTGTAGATTTGCAGCCAAAGCCGCAGCGCGTTTAGTCAGGACGGCGGACCTCTATTCGGAGAAATATAAGCTCAATGAAAATTAAAAACCATATGGGAGAAGAGTGTTGGGTAGCAAAATAAAAATTGACAACAAGGCTCATGGAGCGGAATCAATCATCTTCGATTGCATAAGATCAGTGACCTTGGCCATCGTTTCTATTGTAAGTTACGCTGCCTGTAAATGGCATGGTTAAAATGGACACTGCGAGCCAAGAAAAGGTTCTAGAAACGTTGAGGACGAGGTGCGTCAGATGCACAAGCCAGAGTTACAGACCGAGCTTTAAGTTAAGCAAAGTAAACCCCCATGCCCAAATCCCTAAGAAAAATGACAACCTAAACAATGCGTAAGAGAGACCAGAATAGCGGGGAAAACGAAACGGACAGGCAATGCACAAAAGCCAGGCAACTGGGGTGTCGTACGGAAAGCAAATAATAGACAGACAAGGACAAGGACGTACATCCGGTATAGAGTTTGCATAGTAGCGACAGTAAAAAGAAAAGGAGAATAGGCGAGTATGGCATCAAGGCCAGCTTAACATGGATACCAATTAATCGTCTCTGAAGTATAGAGGGGGGCATCTGGGCGCAATGCCCGGTTGGGATGGTGATTCAAGTTGCTGCAATATCTCAATGCCAAACAAATCGATACTTCGCCCTGCACCCCATTTAGGTGTGGCAGAAAAATCGGTTTCATGCATTTCGCATCGAGACGGCTCACAATTAGGACGGAGCTATCCAAATCCTCATCAATGGTGGGCCAATCTGGTCAATTTAGTATTCCAGCTGCAACTAGCTGGCTGGCTGGTTGGCTGAGTTATGTTGATAATCAGCATTTCCAACTTCTGATAGAAGTTTCAGAAGAATGGTCGCCTTGAAATAGGTGCGTAGCATCCGGAGCGGTGCGGGAAAGAGAGTATGTGTAGTCACCGAGAGAGCAGTAGAGTGAAAAGAGCGGCAACAGGAAATGAATCAGGCCTCGAGTGGTACATTCCTCCCTGTTTTTACCCTCCTGCATAGTCTCCAATCACATCAGGTTCCGCATACACTTTCCTATGCCTAACCCCATCCACACTGCCAGCCTCCCTATATTTCTCAAAATCCGCACACGCATCAGATTCATTTCCATTCCCATCGCTATTATTATAAGAACCATTATTACCAGCCCACTCGGGCGGACAATCCGTATCATTAACGCCTCGGTGTCCTTGTCCCTCATCACCATCATACAGCGATTTCGTCAAACTGAACGTCCTCCTCCTTCCGTCTGGCCTTTCGCTAAAGCTTGGGGCTTGGGGTCTCTGTCGGCCCCTCGCGCGGCCTCCGATGATAGGGATCTCATAGGTGAACGCGCGCCAGATGTAAAGCAGAAGATCATAAAGGATCAGGAATGCCCAAGGGGCGATGATGATTGTTCCTAGGATGATCTTGACACATCGAGTGGGGCAGAAAACGTGAGAAACTTTAAACACACAACTTCCAACAGATGAAGATGCGAAACAGTAGAAAATAGGCACAATACATACAAATACTCGAACTAGCGACGATTCAAATGCTGTCAGTCCTGGAGGGAGTAGAGAGTACCACGTCATGATGCTGGTTCCTCGCCAGCGGTAACGATAGGGCTATCCGGACCTGGACAAACGTTGACAGGAACGGGATTTAATCCACGCCTCCTCCTTTTGTTGCCCCCTCTCGTTCGACGTTATATAAGATTAAGTGCTATGGAAGCGTATATTGTGGCTTTGTCTCGCAGATCCAACGACTTGTCGCTTTAAATTGCCTGTTTGTATATCTTCGTTTTCTCTATTTCAGGCAGAAGAGGGAAGACGAGGGAGAAACTCATGATATTCTTAGCGAGCGCATTTATTTACTCCCAGAAACCCGGGAAAATAAATGAAGGAGATGAGAAGATGTCGTTTTTAATATTATCTGGTCACAGACGGGTTTCGCGCGACACAATCATGGCGAGATATATAGGCGTGTGAGGAGGTTCGACACGGGGTAGATACGTTGAGTCACTAGAAGACCAGAGTATTCTAGATGATGTTTGTATTTTCAGCGTCTAGATGTCGGGGAGAGCGAGGTGAAAGATGTATATTCCAAAGATTCCAAAGCGATGCTAGTATGGAGGAGGAACAAGAGCAAGCTCCCCAACAGCAGTCGTTGCGGGGGAAGGTAAAGCTCAGCTGTGAGCAGGCCGGCGGACCGCCAAGCATCGCCAATCATGACGCACTAGCGACGACCCTTTGGGCGAAAAACCTGGGAAATCACATGATTTTCACATCTATGGATTTGTTCGAGTTGAAAAGGGTCAATCTCTCCCATTCACTGTCTGTTCAACTGAGTCCGCGCGGGAGCATTCGGCTATGATCAGTTGGTATATGGACGCGAGCTCGGCTAATTATCTCTGCATATATGGACCTACTTAACTTAATCCACAAGCAAAGCAGCCCATCCTAAAACATATAGTGAACGAGCGAATATCGTCTCTCCCGGGTCGGTACCCCGAGCGAACGTCGTCATATTGAATGTCAACAATGAGGTGGTGCAGTGTACTGCGGTCGGGGCAATGGATGGCCCACGAAGAAGAGGACTGGCCAGTCACTTTTGACAGCAACTTCAAGAATTGAAGAATCCATGCTCTGCCGTAGGCTCACAGGGGAGTCCGGGGTTACGATTTCCCAGATACTTATGAAAAAACTTCGCCAATAGATCGAGGTCGTTTCTCCTATCATTCCCCAGGATGGGGTCATCAAATTTCAGGTGTCCGAGGAACTGAAGGAAAACAAGTCACCTACAGTTTTTCAACAAGACCTCTTGCTCTGAAACCCGAGCCCAGCGCATGAGATGGGGTGGGGGGGGGTTTCTCCTAAAAAAGTTCTTGAAGCATTTCCGGATCACTGAGCCAGAGTGCTGACCACACCTCCCGGGGAGACTGGAGACTCTGAAGTCCGTCTGACATGCCATTGGATATATAGATGGTTTCGAGGTCTTTAGAACGGACCAAGGCACGGGATTCACAAACTCCAATTCTGTCTGTACTAGCATCCCGGTGGGCCATCGCGGGAGGGCGTGTGCAGAGAAGCGCTGTGTTGGTTGATGAGTTGATATTCAATTGATAATGGCTTCATGATGCCTCTGCCTGATCCACGCCCGGACCTACACCAAGTTAATAATTTATGCCATTCCTTCCTTGACATTCATTCATAGCTCATAATCTCAACCACGCATGATTATGGTCAGGTCAAAAGGTAGTAATTTCAAATCTGCTTCTTACTGTATATATACCGTAATACCTATTTTCCTAGAAACATATCACATCATAATATATGACGTATATTGCATATCTAAAGATAGGATAAAAATTCCATCTGAGCGGCGTGATACTGTTGTTCAATGACTCTCGAAGCTCCAATGTTCTTAGAATATAGTTATTGAAAACGGCTCCTTCAAAAATGGTGGATTGGGTTATCTATACGACAAAAGGCTGGATCTTAAAAATAAATAAATACAAGAATGAATATCGCCTCTAAAAAATCGCCCCCCCCCCCCCACCCAAACCGTGTATGTACGAAAAAGAAAAAATCCCACTTTTCCCAAAACTCTAAGACGCCCCCAAAACCCCCATAAAACCGAACCAAACCCAAGATCTAAGCCTGCCAGGTATCATCATCAACGAAATCATTTTTATGTATAAGGAAAAGCCCAACTGACACAATAGTAAGCCCCTGGTTATTTAGTACCTTTACCCGTAAGATACCTCAAACGCACACACAGAAAGGTCGAAAGTAAACGCGAAGAAAAGAGCCACCCTCCTTTAATACTGCACACCCCGATACGTCTCATAAGACGTATCTTCATAACCCCCGCGCGTTCGCGGCAACCCACGTGGACCCCTCGATCGACGATTCTCCCACCTACCATTCGACGCAATGTCAGCAGAATGTTGAACAGGGCGAGCCTCGTCGTTACTCAGAAGCGCCCGCTCGCTCTCGTTATCCGCTGTCGCCCCAGAATGAAATTCTGCATTATCATCCCCCGATCGATACTCAGGGTTTACCGGACCGTGAGGAACTGGAGGTGGTGGACCTTGGCTATCGAATGGCTGGACGTACATACGGCCGCTGGGCCGCATTGCAGGTCCATTCCCTTGTACCCATGCTCCGTTCGAATGTCGCACTGGTGATGAGGCCCGCGAGGGGCCTGGGGAATCAAAACCGTTGTTAAAGAAGTTGCGGGGCGTGTGGGAGCGCTCATTTATCAAATCATCCGGCCGGCCGTAGATGCCGCCACCGAACTCGTCGCGGAAATCGGGCCGATCCTTGAAGTATGAGAAGTCAAGTTGGTTCTCCGGGATTACTTCAAAGGGCGCATCATGCGGAGAACTCGATGTTCGGCCCGGCTCTTTCGAGGACATCTTCTGCAACGCTATATCTGAGCTCTGACTAATGCCTGATGTGTCACCACCTTGTCTCGGTTGGAAGTTCTTCTCCAGCATACCAGCGGCCTTGGCAAAGACCATTGGAGTCATAAGGGGCTTGTAGAGTGCTGGATGACCAAATTTGGACGCGATTCGTTCAGAGGCTTTCTTTCCGCCTTGTCCAGCGGAGAGGGACTCTGCATCAGTGGGTATCCGGCGGCTATAGTACGTTAAGCTATCGTCGAAGGATCGTTTGCAGAACCATTTGAACGCGAGCATTAGGAAAGGGAGGGGGACTAAACAAAAGACCATTGTCCAGGTTCCCTTGGCTTTGACGACTAACGCAATTGCGAAGTTGGCGAGGATTACTGCGAAGACAAGACGATTGAAGAGGACACGCCAGAATTGGCCGCCGGATTCGGTTTTGGTGACGAACACATAGAGGAGAAGGTACTTCTTGAGCCAGGAATCCAGTGCGAAATAAAGTGCGGTAACGGGGAGGATGATTGGCTGCAGGGTCGAGAAGCAGAGAGCTATCGTCGCATAGAACAGAAAGTAATTGTAATAACTCGCGAATTGAAATGGGGGCGGCGCAGTCCATTCGATAGCCTGTCTGGGAGTCGTCGTCAAAAATCTCTTGGCAAACCAGATCCATGTCAAGTTGAAGATCTGAAGCAGGTCAAGGGTGGCGCCAAGGTTTCTCTGCAAGATCCAGGTGACCCAAAATGGGGAGACGTTGCAAAGGGCTGTCGCGACCTGGAAAAAAAATTGCCCCTTCAAGATCGCATCCCAAGTGTCGTCGTTGTTGTTTTTGGCTTCGATCACCGTAGCCACAAACGTCCAAATTGCTGAAAATATCGAAAATACCACCAAGTTGTTAAAGACGAAGAAAGCGTATAAGCTATGGATGACATGGCACTCCCGCGATGTTTTCGTGATGTCACCCGCCCGGATTGAGAGGCGCCGGAATATAATGGGTAAGACCAGATAGACAAAGGATGTCACCGCTGGAGCTGCAATACCTTGCACCGCAGCCCAGGTCTTGGGATTCGCGTAAAGCTCTTTACGAAATGGGGGCCAGACTTTGCCCAAGTTGGACAGATTGGATAAGAAAACGGCAATTAGAGCGTTAGGTGCGATCCACAATACAGTAAGTACAGTAGACCAGAAAAAATTGATTATGCGTTTCCATTTCCTGCTCTTTCTTGAAAGTGCGAGGTTTTCCCAAATGATATCATTAGGCCGTGGAGCAAGAGTAATTGAGGAGCCTCTTGGGTGCTTGTTTCGAGCAGTATAAGCTACAAAATGGGCGGCTTCGATGGATTCCCAGCTTGCGAACCCATAGGGCATAGCGTTCACGGTATTGATCGACTCACGAACGTGCTTGATCTCGGCCTCGAGGTCTCCAATGCGGGCTGTGAGGTAGTCGATGGCGTCGATTCTGTCAGAGCCACGAGTCGCCTGATCTGCTTTGAAAGGACGGCATGTGGGGCGTTTGACAGGCAATCGATCTGGATTTTTGAAGTATTTGGCAAGCACTTCTTCAAGCTGTCTAACTGTCTTTTCATGCTCTGCGATGAGTTTTGGTAGTTGCTTCATGTTGCGACCAATCGAAGTAAGAGGCACTGAAGATGTCGGGTTGATGTCGTCCACCAAGCGTAGGAGGCCGTCATCTGTCCTGAAATCGGGCGGTACATGTCTGATCTGTATCCAAAACCAATTAGGGCATGATCTTCAACAGAAAACACAATAGTAGAAGCTTACCAAAAGGGTTTTAGCATGAAGAGACTTTTGGTAGTCAGAGCTTTCAAAATAATGGCGTCTCAAGGCGGAAACAGCCTTATAATTCCGCCACAAAAAGTAGGCGACGACAACATCAAAGATCCAGAGGCAAACGACATGACTCCACATTGCACGAGTTGAGACAAACTGCGGAGTCATAGTTGCGAAGGCACTAATACCAGCAGGCGAGGAGCTCTGCGAAACGTTGACAGGAATCATCACCAAGCAGCCGATAACGCTCAGCACCAGGAACATGTTACGGCACATTCTGGTGAAGCGCAAGAACACTGTGGCATCAAGGCCAATGCAATCGACGAGGTTGCTCTCCTTCGTTTGTATAACAGGGGTGAGCCAAGCTAACAGACCCTTCCCCACGGGAGGAGGGCTATGCTTCCGGTCCGCATGTTTTATTTTAGGCGCGTAGACCAGCGAGTTGCGGGGGCGGACAAAGGAAAAGCATAAGGCAAGGACAATCGTCAGTCCCAAGGATGTACCAAACGAAGCCCAGAAGGCATTGAGTTGGAACTAAAGGCAAAGAGCAAAAGTCAGCTTAAGACAAATGGTCTCGGGAATTTGGATACGGAAGAGGATACTACGTACTGCAGCGCTGAATGGATTCTGGATGAGTTCCAGGAACTCTTCCGCGGAAGACTTGGCAGCGGCCTGGCGAGCCAATATAGCGCCCTCCATAGGGATCGGCAGCGGGATGGGATGGTTTATCCTGATCGACCAGTTGTTTTATATGCGGACATGTACCAACTTCACCTCGAAATGAGTGCCACAAGTATATTAAGTGTCATCTATACTGTTGAGGGTTTTGCCATCACCAGACCAAAACGTTGGAAGACTCCACGTGTCCAAATATGCACTAGAAGAGCGTGACCAAAGAAAGGTCAGCCTGCACAAGCTCGAGGATGTGGTAAAAAAAGAATGTAAGTATGAGGCTGGAGAATTGGAATTCAATAAAGCGAGTGAGACAATAATTAAGCGCGAAGGGATGTTATAAGAAGCACAAACGAGGCGCGGGGAAGAAAACACCTTATCAAATCCATTAGTGAACCAAAAACCAGCAGAAAAAACTTGAAAGTTTAAGAGAATTTGGCAAATATCCACGGTTCAACGTCCAGCCGGCCCGCACTGGACAAGCCTGTCCCTGTTTCAGCAGGAGAGCTCGCGCCAGAGCGATGAGAATAGCGCTGTCCATGTCTTAAGTGTCTGAGGCGATTTCCTTTTGACGTTGAACGGCTTGAAGGAATCTTCTAAAAAGTGTGCCCGGGATCAGAGAAGAATCCACGTATCATGGCCCCGGTATGGCATCAAGCTCACTGGCTGAGCTAGTTTTCTGCCAGGGGCCCAGGCCTCTGCACGCGGCCATCAGCTTCTATGATCCACCGCAGTGGGTCCTCTAGAAAAGCTAGCGCGCTTGGAAGAAGAGGATAGGCAAAAAAAAAGCGTGGCTGAACCCGAGCCTGAGCACTGATGATGCACCTGTCAGCGAAAACAGGATCCATGGCTAGAACAAGGAAATTTCCCGTACCTAGAATAGGTTTCATGGATAACTAGGGGTTGGTGAAGAGTCAGCAAATGTCACATTGCTCTGTTTGCAACCCCATTGTTCCTGACTCTCGGTAACAATCTGAAGATGAAGAACAAGAAGAGACGTTTCTCATCGTGTGCAGAAGGTGAGGTTGTGTCTTGGCCAACTGCTATATATCTCTGTTCTCCGACGCGTCAGGAGCGGGCCCCGTCGGCCAAATATATATATAATAAAATAAAATAAAATAAATAAAAAATCAATCAAAAGGTGTTGGCAACGGCGATCTCAAAGGGATCCCAGCGATCGTCGCGCCACCAAGAAAAAAAGCCTTTTAATGATGGCTAGAAGGGATTGAGGGGTCCAGACTCCAGACCAGTGGCATTGTCACATATATTAAGAAGCACCTACGTTCCTCGCCAGTGGAAACGAAATTTTGTGTTACAGGAGAGATCGAGGTGGTTGATATGTATTGTCTCCCTGGAACTTTCAAAACACTCTACTACTCTCTTTACTCCTCGCAGCTCATAAATACAGACAGAAAGAGATGTTTGCATCGCGTGGGTAGTAATTGGTGGGAAGTGCTGGATGAAATCCGAAAAATGCGCAGTCATCGTCTTCACCCTCCGTGGAAGCAGGGAGAAGATACAGCGAACAGACAATGCGGGAGTTATGTCGTTTATCATTGTCAGAAAATTGCTGGCGAGCTATTAATATGATCTGACATATCAAGATGACTGTTACTCCTTTTCCGGTCAAGTCTTTCCCAGCTAGATGGCTGTGCTGCTAATTCTCCCTCACCGAAACGAAACGTGAACATCCCAACCATATATATATATATATATATACGGAGTAGTGTTCTCATCAATATTTTCTCTAAATAAACCATATCGGGATAAATATCCCTGCTCTCCCTCCCCTGATCAACAAATCCAACGTTTGGGTCATATTTCTCCGACCAGAAGTGGAACTATCAGCTGCATCGTCTTTGGTTGTCTACTCCTCACGATGGTCCTTGAGCGTCACGCGTTCCCCTAGTTCCATACGGAACAGAATATCTAATTTCGCGACCAGGCAGAGTTTATCACCAGTGACCACAAAAGGTCCCTGGTGATACAGAATGTCAAGGTTGATTTGGGACATGCCCACGAGGCTTCCACAATGCAGCCAAAAAGAAATTGGTTATGCCTTCAGGGAAAGCATCTTCTCAAACAGCGGATCCTTTTCTGTCAATTTATCAGCAACAGACTCAGACCAGTGTTCCCAAACTTTCTATCATGCTTCTCGATCATATGGCAGGTAAGGCCCGATTCACATGTAGAACTTTTCTTCTGTTTGTTTACTCCATCTAGCAAAACAGTTACAAATCAGCTTCGAGATTCTCGCCATGGTCTGAATTGACCACTCGACGAACTCAAAGACAAGTAGGATTGTGACAGGTTGAGTCCAACCCTGCATTGACCATTGACTTCTTGTAGAGGCGTATTATCACTTGTTCCGCAGGACGAAATCGGAACTTTTTGGTAGCCGCAGGGGTAGCCATTCTGAACGAGCGAGATGGTGCGCGAGGATGAGGAGATTCAGTTTGGCGGAATGAGGTATCTGATGCCTGAGCCTTTTAATCTGGGAAGAATGATAAGATGCTGAAGTCAGGAAAATCGAGGTAGAATCTGAGGTAATAAACGGACGACCAACGCATAACTACCAACTTTTTAAAGGTGTCGCCAGCCCCATCAATTCCAACCTAGGGGCTCCTCGAACTTCACGACCGACAAGGGTAGCAAGGCAAGGCTACACTCGCGAGAGACCTCTGCGGATGCCAGGCATTGCCAATTGATGCCCTTGCCAGGGATGGTAGGCGGCGCTGAACTGGAGTGTAAATTATGATACTGAGGAGTATATAAATCCTACAGCTCCGATGGTTTACCAAATTCAATAAGAATAGTTAATAGGCTTATATATACAAATATCAATAATTTCAAATCTGATATTTATTTATACTACTGCATTTACATATGAATGGAAAATCTTAGCTACTATTCATCGGGTATAAAGAGAATATATTAAAAAACTCTTAAGAATTGGAGAAATTAAGAGGAGAGAGCGCTCTGTTATTTATATAAAAACCATTGTCAATAGTAGGCCATTTCCTGAAGCGGAGGCCCCTGGCAGAGGCAGACAGCAACAATAACCACTAGAAAACAGGAGAGGAAGAAGCGTTGCTTTCGCAGCCAAGATGCACGGAAAGGGCTTGCTTGCTTCCGAGAAAAAAGCAGACTTTGAATGCTAACTAACTACCGGCATGGCATTTATATAATACCATGGAAATGTTGAGTTAGCGATGGATAACTATGCGTCTGTCTGTCTGTCCGATGTGGATTGTTAATATCACCCATATGATTGCTGGATACGCCCCATGTATGCGATGCGCGGGCAGAATCGGAAGACTCGCCCACTGAAACACGGACAATCATCGAGCGATAACTTGTATTGTTGCTCATACTCCGCAGCGCCGGAACCAGGAAAGAAACCATCGCTGTGCGGCCACCCCGCAGTCCATACCTTGTTTTCTTTCCCTTTCTCTTTTCACTGTGTTCCCATATACCCAAAAGCCCTTCCCCCGCTGTACAATCACCAGGTGTGTTTTGGCCCCGTTCTCCTATGTATTTGTGTTTGTGTTTATATATTTTATCTTTGGATTTCTTGTTTGCCAATGTTGCTGTTATTTTTTGCCGCCTTTAACTTACCCCTCCATCACCACCTCTAACCCCTCTTATTATTATTTTTTTTTTTTTGTAAACCTCAACTCTTGTTATATATACATATCTTCCACTTCAATTGCCTTTCGATTTTCCCGTGGACTTCCCATCTTATTTCACATACGCTAATCTCGTCAATCCGGATGTCCTAGGTTTCCGAGTCTCCAAAGCTACCCGCCAGACCCTTATACAGTCATCATGAGCGTAAAGGACGTTCTCTCTCGCAAGACCGGCGTCATTGTTGGCGACGATGTCCTCCGCCTCTTTGAACATGCCCACGAAAATGGCTATGCGATTCCTGCCATTGTATGCTCACAATTGTCTACCTAGCCACACCAAACAGTCCAACTAATCCAATCGCCTTCTCCAATTCAGAATGTAACCTCCTCCTCTACTGTCGTGGCCGCTCTCGAGGCAGCCCGTGACAAGAAGAGCCCTCTCATCCTGCAGGTGTCTCAGGGTGGTGCTGCATTCTTTGCCGGAAAGGTGAGTTTCAAAAGACCCAAACCTGGTTTATGCAAGTAGCAATGAAAAATTTAGATCATCTAACATGAGATGTAAAAAAAAAAAAAAAAAAAAAAATCCAGGGCATTTCTAATACGAACCAAGAAGCTTCCATTGCTGGAGCCACCGCGGCAGCTCACTACATCAGAAGTGTTGCCCCCTCCTATGGCATTCCCGTCGTCCTCCACTCCGACCATTGTGCTAAGAAGCTGCTCCCTTGGTTGGATGGCATGCTCGATGAGGATGAACGCTATTTCAAACTCCACGGCGAGCCCCTCTTCTCTAGCCACATGATCGATCTGTCGGAGGAGTCCGTCGACTGGAATATTGAAACCACTGCCAAGTACCTCAAGCGCGTTACTCCCATGAGGCAATGGCTCGAGATGGTGAGTTACACATCCCACATGACCGACGTAAAAAGGCCAGAAAAGAAGTGGAAATTTTTTTTACGTTTTTTACTTTTTCAATGTATATTGATTGATCAATCTCACTAAATGCAAAATTCCTCTCGATTATTAAAATAGGAAATCGGCATCACCGGCGGTGAAGAAGATGGTGTCAACAATGAATCAGTCGACAACAACTCCCTCTACACCCAGCCTGAGGACATCTACGCCATCTACAAGACCCTCTCAGCCATCAGCCCCTACTTCTCCATCGCCGCCGGCTTCGGCAATGTGCATGGTGTCTACAAGCCCGGAAATGTCCGCCTGCACCCAGAGCTTCTCGCCAAGCACCAAGCCTATGTCAAGGAGAAGACCGGCTCTTCCAAAGACAAGCCTGTCTTCCTCCTCTTTAGGCGGCTCCGGCTCCTCCAAGGCTGAGTTCAAACCTAGTGTAAGGATTTACGGTGTGTCAAGGTCAATC